GGCAACTGCGTCCCTAGTTTTGCTAAAACGAACATCCCTTCGCAGCTGGATGTCCCAGAACCCCGCAAGGAAACACCCAGACATCGCCCCTCGCACTGAGCTACCACCCATCGAGAGCCCTCTGTTGCCACGAAATAGCAGGGTTGTGGGTGCTTAACCAGGGAATCCCCAGCACCACTGGGTACGCAGGAGAGTCGATCAGATACAGCTGTATAATCTCCTCATGACCCCCCTGCGCACACATCCGAAGTGGCGCTGTGATCTCCCTGATCAACCCCGACCCCAACGGGCGGCTATCTAAGGCATGAACGGGAAAAGGTTTGTCAACAGGTAGGAGAGAGATCCCTAACTCAAAACAAAACTTCCGATCAACAAAATTCCCAGCTGCGCCTGAATCTACGAGCGCCTTATGCTGGGAATGAGGTGCAACCTGTGGAAAACAAACAGGTATACAAAAGTGCGCAACAGAAAGCTCTGGGTAAGTGGGACGTCTACTCACCTGGGAGGCCCCCCCAAGTGCGTGGCCTGTTGTCTTCTCCCCCGGAGAACCCTCCCCAGCACCTGGCCGCAGTGTGCCCTCCACGACCGCACTTGGTGCAGGAGACAGGCCCCCTCGGGCTCCTCCTACTCCGTTCTCTAGCGCCGGCACCCCCGAGCTCCATAGGGCTCGGCTCGGAGGCGCCGGAGGGCGGAATGGATTGACTCCCCTCGGGACGTCCACGGGTGGCCAGCAGGGTGTCCAGATGGATGGACATATCGACCAACTGGTCGAAGGTAAGATGGGTATCCCTGCAGGCCAACTCACGTTGAACGTCCTCTCGTAGGCTACATCGAAAATGGTAGATGAGAGCCCGTTCATTCCACCCTGCATCCGCCGCTAGAGTCCGGTACTCTAGAGCGAACGCCTGCGCGCTCCTCCTCCCCTGTCTCAAATGGACTAGACGCTCCCCCGCCGCTTTGCCCTCCGGTGGATGGTCGAACACGGCCTTGAAGCGGCGGGAGAACTCTGCGTAGGTAATGGTGTTGGCGTCCATTCTCCTCCACTCGCCGTTAGCCCACTCCAACGCCTTGCCCGTGAGACAGGAGATGAGGGCGGAAACGCTCTCGTGTCCCGAGGGCACCGGGTGTACAGTGGCCAGGTGGAGCTCCACCTGCAGGAGGAACCCCTGACACCCGGCAGCTGTTCCGTCATACGCCCTCGGGAGCGAGAGCCAAATCCCCCTGGGTTCCGAACCTAGGACTGGTGGACCGACCGATGGGGTGGGCAGGGTAGGTGGAGGTATGGGTACCCGGCTGGCCTCCCATCGGTGCAAGGTGTAGATTACCTCCTGTAGAGCGGTCTCCAGTTGTCTAATCTGGCCATCTTGCCCACGGATATGCTCCTCGAGCGACACAGGCGTCTCTGCCGATCCTGCTGATTCCATTATGGTGTGTGATGTATGAATCAGGCGCAGGACGCAGAGGCTCAGTCCAAAGGCTTTAGTGCAAAATTCACACAAAACAAAAGCACAATAAGCCTGAAGGCGAATACAAGGCGCACACAGGCGACAAAATAAACGGCGCACAAAACATGTGCAAAGTAACCACTCCAAAACACTGGAGGGAAATAGTAGCTCCAACACGTAACAGAAGCGCAATCACACACAAACACAGACACACACAACGAGAACTAAATACAACACTAACGAGGACTAACTAGACACAGGTGTACAACATTAAGACCAAACCAAACGAACATGAAACATAGATCGGTGGCAGCTAGTACTCCGGGGACGACGACCGCCGAAGCCTGCCCGAACCAGGAGGAGGAGCAGCCTCGGCCGAAACCGTGACACACCACTGATGTTTGGAGCGAGAAGTCATGGCTGCTGGGCCAGACATTGTGTTTCATGTTCTAGCCCTGAACTAAGAAAACTGATATTACCAGTGTAAACCCTTAGCCAAGATAATTATTGGTTCCTTATTTTACTACTTGTTTTTTAGGTAATTTACCATTTACTTTCCATATCCTGCTAAGGCCAAAGGTAGACGTCACTGCACTGTGCAACATACCCACTGACCAGTACCCACAGCATCAATGATCAACTCTCTACTGTTGTCACTTCAGAGGGGAGGGGACTGAAATGCGTCACAAATTGAATGTTGAAATGTTTTGACTTGGAAAACAATCGTATGTCCATATATCTGTTGGGTTGTTGGTGTGGTATCTAGGTGATAGGTTTGTTGTGAAACCCTGGTATGTCACATGGGCCAGTCAGCATGTGTGTTTGTGGAAAAGGAACTCCCCCGTCGCTGTACTGGGGACAGAACACACACATACATACACAGTTATGGAACATACACACGACACACACAGGCATACAACCACACATGCCACACGTTCCTGTACACACGAGGGACTTGTAAGAGTTATCAGGGCGAACAGAGTTTTTTCCATGCTTTTTTTCATGCTTACAATGTGACACCACACTGCCAATGTTCCATTAATCGATCAAGGCTCACTGCCAGAGAGATGGGGAGGCAGGGAGACAAGCTGATCGGGAACAATCAGTTAGGGTAAAAATATTTACAAGAGGTCAGCCAACGTCACTGCATATATAACAAATGAGCTATGTTTAATTATTGAGAAGCATAAATCTGCCAAAAGTGAATTGTGAGATTAAATGTGTGGTAACATACCCTTTTGACCCTCCAGAAAGTTAGCGCTTAAGCTCGTCAATTTGGCGTGTAAATAGGATCACTAGGCGTTCACACACACACCAGGGAAACCATTTTTAACATTCTTTAAGTGCAAACTTTTTGTTGCATGTTTTGTCCTACAAAACATTCACCTTGAAACACTAACCGTGGATACATTGGCAGTGGTATGATTCACAAAAAGGAGTCCCCTGAGTTGATAGCACGCACACAGGCACGCACACAGGCAGCAGGTAGCCTAGTGGTTAGAGAGTTGGGCCAGTAAGCAAAAGGTTGCTAGTTTGAATTCCCGAGCAGACTAGGTGAACAATCTGTGGACCTGCCCTTGAGCAATGCACTTAACCCTAATTGCGCCTGGGTTGCCGTCAATAATGGCTGATCCCTGGCCATGACCCCACTGTCTCAGTGGGATATACATAAAACATATTTCCATTTCACACCACACACTTGTGTGAAACAGGACAAATATTAGCACCCCCTATTTGACCTTTTACACACGAAGAACAGCATGAATACAAAGACAGAGGAGAATCCCCTTGCAATAAAAACATGTCAGTCCATCAGAGGAGAATCCCCTTGCAATAAAAACATGTCAGTCCATCAGCCAGCCGGTGACAGTCTACTAATCCTGACTGTCACATTACACACATTCACACTGACCGTTTAAATCAGCAGGAGGGAGAGAACAAGCCTGCATGTACCACCACACAGGCCTTCAGTCTCTACTACTCTGCTCAGAGAGGAGGAAAAAGGACCTGTTGTCATTCTGAACCATCCCCCTCAAGTTATCACAGACACGCTTTTCTATTCTTCTGACCAAAGCAACTGGAGAAGTAACTGAAGACTACAACATCCTACTACTGGATAGATACTGAGTGGCAAATAGAGAAAGAAAAATAATAGACACCCAACTAGAATAGAAGACAGTAAAGGAGTTGTCAGATTTTAGATAGTGGTCTGTTTTTTCAGTCAGGCTAGCCGAAGACACTGACATGGCGGGGGAAGAGAAAAACCATACATTACATTTACATTTTAGTCATTTAGCAGACGCTCTTATCCAGAGCGACTTACAGTTAGCGCATACCTTGGAGCCCGAGAAGGGACAGACCCAGAAGGGACAGACCAATGGAGAGCCACACAGTCCCACAGACTCCCCCAGCCTGCGGAACATTGTACGCACCAAGCTGGAATGGGATGTGCCAATGAGTGTCCCTTTGCCCATCGAGGTCATCAGTGCTGACCAGCCTCTCCCATTCCTGGACACCACGCTGGCAGACTTGGGCATCAAAGAGTGAGTCCGCTAGGTTGCAGGTTTGAGTGTGTGTGTTGTTGACACGTGTACATGATCAGTGAGATGATCAGTGTGCACTCAAATGCTGCAGGACATTTGCTACCACATAATAACGCATAATATACATTCTGAGTATGTTGAGATGATGTTGATGTTGTCTGTGTTTATTTTCCTTTTTTTGGTTTAAATTGTGCAAGTGCTCAGATCCTCAGTGAAAGAGCGGGTGGTGTGGGTGGACACCAAGAAGACGCAGGTGAAGAACAAGGAAGGCAAACTGAAGGAGAAGGAGATCACCATCCTGGAGGTGCGGGTCAAGGCCCAGATCCCAGGACATAAGAAGACCCAGGAGGTCCTCTACAGCACTGTGACCCACACAGACCGCTCCTTCTGCCGGACCGGAGTTGACATCCTGCCCTGGAAAAGTCACATGCAGACAGGTCTGAGATACACCTCACGCTCTACACTCTCTCTTGTCAACAGCTGTACAGTTAGTCTGAAGGAACCAGATATGAGAAACATGGTGATGCCTCTACGTAGTCTTCATGAAGCTTCGGCTGTCTCGGTTTATACCTATCCAGTTCCTTCAGGATGTGTAAACACTGATGGAATAGGGCAATGGCAACATTGGTTTAGAACCAGGCATAGGCCTATGCTTTGTTGTCAAACTCAAGGCACCACTGTGTTCTCGATGGCCCTGAATCCGACCAAGTTAAGCACGCATAAATGGAATGTAAATCCCTTTTTATGCACTCTTCTCTCTATGCTTTATTCTGGCCTTGAACTTAAGCATGATAATAGCATGCTATTTCACCCGTTTTTCGTTCGGGGTTTAGATCTAAGAAATGAAGGTGTGGCAGAGGTGTGTTTACAGATTCCCCGTATTCTGACCTTGATTTAATTGCCTCATAATTCCACCACCTTTATGCAAGAGGAAACCATGAATAAGGTCGAGCAAACCTGCCGGTTCCAAGTGGGAAAATAATCTACTTTCTTTTTCCGATAGAAATAACAGCATTCTCCATGCATTGTAATTTACAACTTGATAAGAGCTAGGTAAATGACTAATCCGTTTGGATAAGGGAATTGTAAATATAAATGACACTTGTTTTAGATCTATTTTATCTTATAAATCGCTGGAGACAAATGTGAAACCTGTCATATGGCAGCAAACTGAAGCATATCAACATATATTTCTATCATGTTAAATATTAGCCACTATCAGTATCGTCCATCAGTAGGCCTAATAACAACACATATTCAACTGCCAATTTACTGTTAGTTCCCTTCAGTTGGTATAGCCTACATGATCCTTCCATTTAATTCCATTGTTTCGTTTACCTTCATTTTCTTCCTCTGTAAACGCCTTCAAGGGCATGTGGTTGTTGCTGAGGATTATTAGTAACAGTTGATATTGTAGCGACCCGCACAGACAGCTGTGTGTTATGTGTTAGGCTAGTAGATGGTTGTGTTGTACCTACCAGTACCCAGTGTTCGCGGGGTCCGACATGTCAATCAACCTGCTATCTGCCAATCACGGGAATGCCTGGAATGTTCTGATGCCGGGCATCCTGGCGGTTGGCGGAGTGGCGTGGAGGAGGGTTGGGCAGGGGGATGGAGCATTGGAAGTTAAGACCAGGTTTAGCCTTTGTTCTCTCTCTTTACGTCTGGGCTTCACAAGAGAAGGTCACGATTGGCTTGTGGGTTATCTTTCATTTATTTGGCGTGGGCTACGGCCAAACAGTAGCCTGTGTAAAGTTGGTTTAATAAACCGTCCATTCGTAAACTCAATCCTCTGTCTGGACAGTTGTTCTTTTATGTTCTAGTCAGGTCATTACATTGGTGTCAGAAGTAAAAACGTTGATAAAAGTTAGCCAGCTAGCTAGCTGACTTCTGTGGCTAGCTACCGTAGGTGAGAACGGGGATTGAAGATGCTTCGAGGGAATCCGAAAGTGAAGGTGGAGGTAGGGGACGATTATGGCCAAGGAGGTGCGTGTGCATGGACGTCGGGGGTTCTGGCTGAGGAGATCGCCAGGGCATCGGAGCCCAGAGGCCGCTTGAGGGAGGACGTTAGAGTGATGGCGGCTGAAGCGGGCATGAGTGCTTCGTCGACTGTGTTTCGCGCGGATTCTGGTGGGCGGACCGAAGGGGTGACGTCGACGCGGCGGGACGAGGAATCTGGGGCTCAGGATGTAAACAAACATGGCGGCGCCCAGTTCCTGGCTGCGTCCGTATCCGTTATGACCCCGAAGTATTCCGGTAAGGCGGATTGGGAAGCTTTTCATGCTCAGTTTGAACTGTTAGCTCATTTTAGGGGGTGGTCGTATGAAGATAGGGCACTGCAGTTGGCTTTATGCCTCACGGATGAAGCTCTGGCCTGTTTGATATTGATTAGCCCCGAGGACAGACGTGATTATGGTGCTTTAGTGGGAGCACTGAGGAGGCGCTATGGACAGTGTGTACAGCCCGGGCTACTGCGCTCCGAACTGAGTAATAGACGCAGGCAGCCTGGAGAGCCTCTACGGGTGCTAGCTAATGACATTGAGAGCCTCTCTCGGCGGGCATATGCTCACATGCCCCCCTCCGTGCAGAGCGAGCTAGCACGGGACCAGTTCATACAGGCGCTCTCTCCTACGGAGCTGCGCATACAGACCCAGCTGGCTCATCCTGAGTCATTGCAGGTAGCCTTGGAGATGGCTTTGGAGAGGGAGCTGGTGTGGGCTGGGGCTTCAGCTGGGGCTTTGGTGGGGGTGCAGGGAGACAGACCCTCTGTGCGAGCTGGGGGGCAGAGCAGCCCGGAGCCGGAAAAGCCTGCATGGGTGGCTGAAATGACAGAACTCATTCGTGCTGTGTCGCTACAGGCGGCACGAATCACACGCCCTGGTCCCAGGGTCTGCTGGGGTTGTGGCCAGCCAGACCATCTGCGCCGAGATTGCCCCATGTCCCCCAGAGCTCAGGGAAACGGCTCGGGGTCCGCATAGACCGGGTAGTGCGGACCCCTGGCTTTCTATCCCAACCACCATCTTCTTCAGGAGGAGCCCACCGGCACAGACGGGGAAGCAAGGCTCCACTTCCCCCAGAAGCAGACGAGGGCAAGCGGATGGAGCCTGTTGTTGTGGTGGGCCGGACCTGTGTTGGGGACTTTTGTCATGTCCCTGTCACTGTGGAGGGGGTGCCCTGCTCCGCCCTGGTGGACACTGGGTCCACAGTAACCCTGGTGAGGCCAGATATTGTGCCAGGTTGGACTCAGTGTGAGCCTACAACTGTGCAGCTCCGCACAGTCACAGGTGAGCTGGCACCCATGAAAGGGAAGGGAATAATGACTGACAGTAGGGGGCAGGACTGTGCGTCATCCTGTGTGGGTGGCGGCTGTGCAGGACCCTTGTATCCTGGGGTTGGACTTTCTTAGGAGCACAGGCTGCCAGTTAGACCTAAATAGGGGCACACTGAGCTTCCAGGGAGGGCCGGAGGTCACCATGGCCCCTAATGTCACATTCACTCAACCCAACAAACCCTTTACTCCAACAGTTAAAGCAGCAGAGACTCATGGCTGCCCCCCCTCCCCCACATCTGGGTGTGACTTTTCCCCAGCCCCCCTGTCACCTACGGCGTTGTGTTACATTCCCCCAGCTACCTCCACGACACAGCCCTCTGTGAGCCCGGGCCGCGCCCCCCCCAGCCCAGCTACCCCAGATGGGAGGGGAGAGGACACTGTCTGCAGTGAGGGAGATATGGGGGAGGAACTGTGTTGGTCTTGACCCCGAGCAGCAGGAACGGTTGAGGCAGTTGCTGTTTGAATTCAGAGACAGCTTTGCGCTGAGTGAGGAAGAGGTGGGTCAGACTCATCTGGTGCAGCATGAGATCGACACAGGTGATGCTCGACCTATCAAGATGCGTCCCCGCCGTATCCCGCTGGCACGCCAGGAGGCGGCAGACAAGGCTGTGTTGGAGATGCAGCGGGCAGACTTCATTGAGCCCTCAGACAGCCCCTGGGCGGCGCCAGTCGTCATGGTTCCGAAGAAGGGGGGCAAGCTGAGGTTCTGTGCGGACTACAGGCGGCTGAATGAGGTAACCAGGAAGGACTCATACCCCATACCACGTATCGATGAGTCGCTGGACCTGGTTAGGGGATCCTCCTGGTTCTCCTCACTAGACCTCCGCAGTGGCTACTGGCAGGTGCCCCTCTCCCCAGAGGCCAGAGCCAAAACTGCGTTCTCCACTAACAGAGGACACTGGCAGTTCAAGGTCCTGTGCTTTGGCCTGTGCAACGCTCCAGCTACTTTTGAGCGTTTGATGGACAGGGTGCTGGATGGCATCCCCCGACAGCAGTGTCTGGTATACCTCGATGACATCCTGGCCCATGGCAGCTCCTTCCAGTCAGCCCTGGGGGCGCTACGGTGTGTGCTGGAGAGGGTGGCTGCCGCAGGTCTGAAGCTTCACCCCGAGAAGTGCCACTTCATGAGGAGAGAGGTGTCCTTCTTGGGCCACCGAGTGGGGAAGGAGGGGATCAGCACCATGGAGGACAAGGTAGCGGCTGTCAGAGACTGGCCCACCCCCACCGACCAGCGTCAGCTGAAGAGCTTCCTGGGCCTGGCCTCGTACTACAGGAGGTTTGTACGGGGCTTCTCAAGCGTTGCTGCTCCACTGAACCGCCTGCTGCCGAAGGACAAGGCTTTCACTTGGACAGTGGAGTGCGTGGAGGCGTTCAACACCCTCAAACGTGCACTGATCGAGGCCCCCGTGCTCGCCCCCCCTGACCTCACATTGCCCTTTATCCTGGACACAGACGCGAGCAATGTGGGCATGGGTGGGGTGCTGGCCCAGGTGGGGCCAGAGGGGGAGAGAGCGGTGGCGTACTTCAGCAAAACATTTGAAAACATGAGTGCCGCTACTGTGTCACCCGGCAGGAGCTCTTGGCTGTTGTGGCTTCCGTCAAACACTTCAAGTACTACCTGGGTGGTCTGCCCTTTACTGTAAGGACTGACCACTCTGCTCTCCAGTGGCTCATGTCTTTCAGAGAGCCAGAGGGGCAGGTGGCACGCTGGTTGGAGGAGCTTCAGCCGTATGACTTCACGGTGATGCACAGGGCAGGGGCACGCCACTCCAACGCCGACGCCATGTCCCGTCGGCCCTGTACTGCAGACGGCTGCCGCCACTGTGAACGGAGAGAGGGACGGGAGAGAGAGCTGTGTGCAGAGGAGGGGGTCTGTGCCACAGTGTGTCGGGCGAGCGGGCCTGTCTGCTGTGAGCTGCAGACTGTCGACGTGGCTGAATGGGGGCAGCAGCAGGGACGGGACACAGACCTACAGCCAGTGCTACAGTGGGTAGAGGCGCAGGTGAGGCCACCATGGGAAGAGGTGACAGCGCTCTCACTCGCGACCAAAGGGTTGTGGTCAAAGTTTGAGCGACTGCGGCTGGCTGATGGCGTGTTACAGCGGGCATTGGAAGGAGTCAGCTACGGGGGAGGAGAGGTGGCAGGTGGTGGTCCCAAAAGCATTGCGGGAGGCTGTGCTCCAGAGTACTCATGGGGGGGTGGGGACTGGACACTTTGGGGTCACAAAAACACTGCGCCGCCTCCGTCAGGGCTTTTACTGGGGGCAGCACAAGAGGGATGTGGAAGACTTTTGCCGCCGCTGTGACAACTGCACAGCGAGAAAGGGCCCCCCAGGCCGCTCTCATGCTCAGCTCCAACAGTTCCCAGTGGGGGCTCCCATGGAGAGGGTGGGAGTGGATGTAGTTGGGCCGTTCCCCACCACAGACAGTGGAAACCGCTGGGTGCTCACGGCCATGGACTATTTCACTAAATGGCCCGAGGCCTATGCTCTGCCTGACCAGGAGGCAGAGACCATCGTCGACGCCCTGACAGCGGGGATGTTCAGCAGGTTTGGAGCTGCAGAGTCCATCCACAGCGACCAAGGCAGAAACTTCGCCACCATGTGTGAGAGGCTGGGTATGCACAAGACCCGCACTACTCCTCTCCATCCTCAAAGTGATGGCCTTGTGGAGCGCTTCAACAAAACGCTTGGACAGCAGCTGGCCATCGTCTCTTCCAAACACCAGCGTGACTGGGACAAGCACCTGCCTATGGTCCTCATGGCATGCCGCTCCGCTGTCCAAGACTCCACCTCCTGCACGCCTGCCCTCCTCATGCTGGGGAGAGAGATCCGTACCCCTGCGGAGATGGCGTTTGGTCGGCCCCTGGATAGCCCTCATGTTTCCCCGGGGCCGGAGTATGCCCGGAGACTCCAGGACCGCCTGGAGACAGCCCACACCTTCGCCAGAGAGCAGCTGCTGAATGCAGGTGTGAGGCAGAAGAGGAACTATGACGTGCACACCCGGGGAAGGCACTTTGTGGCTGGGGAGCTGGTCTGGGTCTACAGCCCGCTAAGGAAAAAAGGCAGATGCCCCAAGTTGGACAGTCACTGGGTGGGACCCTGCAGTGTCCTGGAGAGGGTAGGGGAGGTTGTTTACCGGGTGCAGCTTCCTCCCAGGGGGAGAAAGGTGACACTGCACCGGTACAGGTTAGCCCCATATAGAGGGGCCTCTTCTCCCCAAACCCCAGGAACCCCCACAGTTCCCCTCTCTGGCAATGACATTCTCCAGGCACCCACCCCCAGGTGCCGCAGACAAGGCTCCAGACAGCCCACTCCCCCTGTGTCACCGCGTGGTTCCCCAGAGCCACGGACTGTATTACCCGTTCCCGCTTCCTTGTCCCCCATGTCCTTGCCTTCATCCCCTGGTTCCCAGAGGGGCACTCTGCGGCCATCACAGCCACGCAGGCAAAGGAGACCTCCGGGTCGCTTCAGAGACTTTGTTTGTTCCCTCGGGGACGAGGGACTTTGTGGTGGGGGGGGCTGTGTAGCGACCCGCACAGACAGCTGTGTGTTATGTGTTAGGCTAGTAGATGGTTGTGTTGTACCTACCAGTACCCAGTGTTCGCGGGGTCCGACATGTCAATCAACCTGCTATCTGCCAATCACGGGAATGCCTGGAATGTTCTGATGCCGGGCATCCTGGCGGTTGGCGGAGTGGCGTGGAGGGGGGTTGGGCAGGGGGATGGAGCATTGGAAGTTAAGACCAGGTTTAGCCTTTGTTCTCTCTCTTTACGTCTGGGCTTCACAAGAGAAGGTCACGATTGGCTTGTGGGTTATCTTTCATTTATTTGGCGTGGGCTACGGCCAAACAGTAGCCTGTGTAAAGTTGGTTTAATAAACCGTCCATTCGTAAACTCAATCCTCTGTCTGGACAGTTGTTATTTTATGTTCTAGTCAGGTCATTACAATATATATATATATATATATATATATATATATATATATATATATATATATATATATATATATATATATATATATATATAGACATATTGGCTAATTACAAGCCGAAGTTTGAACCCGACGCATGGCACAATACTTCGCTGTCATCACACATGGTTAGTGCAGGCAATAGAGAGTATAGCCTGCGATTGTACACTATTCTCCCTATTATAATTATATGTATACTAATCTTCCAACGTTACCATTGGTTAAAGAACTGAATGTGGCAATTTTCTGAATGAATCAAACCATTATATTTTTGATTCATCAATATATTTTGTGCATAAAGACTCTCCAAACAATTTTTACAAAAATGATTCATACATACTTTCCTAAACCTAAAATGTGCCTAAATAATCTACAAAATCAGAGTATTTTTAAATCTACCAAGCTGGTGTTGAAATGGCAAAAGGAAAAATAGGCTTTTTTTAAATTCTCCTTTTGATTTTGAAATGGTAAAATGATTAATTTTCTCGTTTGGCCTTGCCGAGATGAAAGGAAATATGAATTATCCATAAGCACATGGACCCATATATTTAGATGGCTTTCTTTCATGGATCCCTATTTTCTGAATCCGCTCTCTCAATATATTCTAGTCTGTTGATAAAATTCTAATTAAAAAAGGTACACAAAATTTAAAAGGATGGCTTAAGATAAATATAACGAAAACCCTATTGAATGAAAATTCTAATCGGCAAGTGGGAGGGTTTTCAGCAGTTGGATTACATTTATTCAGCACATACAAGGGAACAACGCCTGCAAAGCCCTTTATACACCTTCATAAAGTAAATCTGAATACCAACTACTGAGAAGTGCTTAGGAAAGGTGTGCTTAAGAAAGGCGTAATTTCCTAAATCATAATCGGGCCCAATATAAATGTCTCAATTTAACCATGCCACCTGTACCCCTTTGGCAGTGCCACCCGTACCCCTTTGGCAGCCACCTGTACTATACTTTACTATTTATAATTTGACAACTTTTACTTCGCTACATTCCTATAGAAAATAATGTACTTTTTACTCCATACATTTCCCTGACACCCAAAAGTACTCTTACATTTTGAATGCTTAGCAGGACAGGAAAATGGCCCAATCCACACACTTATCAAGAGAATATCCATGGGCATCCCTACTGCCTCTGATCTGGTGGACTCATTAAACACAAATGCTTCATTTGTAAATTATGTCTGCGTGTTTTGTGGTGGGCTATCCGTAAATAAAAAATGTAATAAAAAATGTGCTGTCTGGTTTGCTTAATATAAGCAATTTGAAATGATTTATAAATTTTACTTTTGATACTTATAAGTATATTTTTGCAATTACAGTTACTTTTGATACTTAAGTATATTTAAAACCAAATACTTTTAGACTTTTACTCAAGTAGTATTTTACTTGGTGACATTCACTTTTACTTGAGTAATTTTCTATTAAGGTATCTTTACTTTTACTCAAGTATTGTCCCACTCAGCATAGATATTTTCCATCATCGACTGCGGTTCCTTTTTGATATGAGCAAAAATGTTGCCCTCATACAACATTCCTTACATGGCAAAGCAAATTCCTCAAGACGACACCCAGGCGAAATCATATAAATGTTTTTTAACTTAATGTATTGGCATGTCTGCAGTGAAGTCTTTTGTCTGTTTCAGTGGAGAATGGCTTCCAGCCAGTGGAGATGACAATGGCCTTGGACATCGAGTCACAGCCCAAAGAGGAGATTCGAGAGGTGCGAGGGAACACTTGGGATAATCGCCAGCAAAAGCAATAACATATTAAACATGGCTCAGCCACTACACTGTTGAATCAGACGTGCTCCAGTGATTTAACGTTTACTGTTGAAAAGTGATATCCCAAGTATAAATACAGTAAAAGTACAACACACTAATGGGTAAAAAATGTGTTTTCAGCAAAACTTCAAGGAGTAGGGCTTTCAAGGAGTTGGTTTGATGGGAAGTAGTTCTGTCTCCGGACTCTCCCCCCCCCCCCCTTGGTTGAGGAACAATAGAGGAAAGGTCCCCCCACCCCCTGTGCTGTCATGACTTACCTGGACCACCTACTGAGATGTGCCTTTTAAGTAAATCAGGTGTTAAATGAGGTGAAAAGGAGACTGGAGTGCCTCTACATAGACTCAATAGACTTGGTTTGTCCAGCTATTGCCGGTAATATGCACATGCAAGATGGTTTGAGTAGGTGATGTAACTAGTAGTAGTTACTGATTGTGGGCCAAAATAACTGTTGATAGAATGAAATAAATAATAATGATAAATGGGAAGATATGTTAGAAGATTTGATTGCTGAACCCAGCAGAAGCTGTTAAGCAAGTGTGTTGAGTGTTTATCTGCCAGAAAGCATATGATGCCAATTATGTCAGATGTAAATAAAATACGAATAAAAAAATGCTGCCTTTTCATGAGAGAATATATAATCCTGTAGTTTGGTCATAAAGGAAGAACGGGAGATGCTATGCAATACGCACCACACTGGAGTTCAGATGAGTGCATTGTGGCTGATTTGCCCCGATTCACAAAACCACCTTACTAATCACAAAACCACCTTACTAAGCACGATGGGGAGCTCTCTGAATGAGGGACAGCTGAGAGAGAAACAATTGTACCGGAAAAGGGGGGATTGTACGATGAGTGCAGGGAAAGGCAAAGAACAGTGCATGACACTGACAAGTCTGCAAAAAAGGCATTTATCATGAGTTCAGTTCATTGCTCCACACTCAATACTAGCCTAGCCAGAAGTTCATTAAATTTGTGGCAAAAGGGGGACAGCAGCAAATAGATAAGAGGCTCTCAGGTACAACAAGGGTAGCAAGTAGCAGACTAAAAAAAAGAACCCAACGACATACAGGTGATGCACACAAAATGAAATCTCATTAAAATAATAAAAACAGACAGTATAAATAAAAAAGTTAATACTGGGAACATAACCTCTGAATAATAATAGAATACTAATAATAGAATGGTTCAAGTGCCGTAGTTTGCAGGAGTTTGGCCAATTTGAATGTCCCAACTACGGTCCCATTTGTCATCTGTAGTTATAAAAAATAAAAATAAAAAATAAAAAATCACTGGCGTGGAGTGGAAGAGTTGCTTGGTGTGGTGTGTTACGATTGGCTGACGGCTGCAGTCAGCTTCATCTTCTGCTCAGCAGGAAGTGACCTCACGGCGCCCTCAAATGCCTGGGAGTGGCGCTGAGCGACGTCTCGGAGCAGCATGACCAGGGTGTTCTGGGTTTCTGGATGACCAACATTGTCATAACGTTTCATATCTACATACGACAACATAGCTACATGAAGAGGAAAGGAAACCTGTCACGATTTAAGGTTCTCTTACCTGCATCAAGGTCCTTCGTTCCCAGGACATGGCTAGAAGCAGATACTATTGGCTTAATTTGACTCACCACCTAAGGAGACAACACTTATTACTACTAAAATACAGATGAGTAGTTGACAGTTACTAGCCAACATTGTGGAATTACACAATTAGATATAAATTCTAGATCTGTGCGTATTACCATGGAAATGGACAATAAAGTATCATATGACATGATCAGTTTAAGAAAGCCAAACAGGCAAAATAAATGAGTGGGAACATACCATTGCAGGGTTCTGTGAGTAGAGCATGGCCAGGCAGCTGTACACAGTCTTATTCTCCTCCATGTCCTCCTTCAGAGGGAGGCAGGCCAGGAGGGCAGGGAACACCTAGGACAGAGATAAGAGGAGTTATCCATGTCAGCATCACTGAGGACACTCAGCTTTTCAACTCATGCGTCTGTCAATAAGCCTGTGGCACACTCACATTGTAAATCTAATATACAGCATTTGGGACATTGAAGAATTGGAGACAAGGCCATAGACACAGGTCACAGATATTCTCAGCGGACCCAAATCCTATCATCAGAGCAATTCAAAGTTGCACACAAATCTTCCAGAGTCATGCAAACACCTCGAGTTAGGCATTGAACCGGCATAAAATCCCATGCATGAAAATGCACAGACAGTACCTGTTCCAGAGGAACACCCTCCATGTTGCTCATGATCATCCTGCAGAGGGCAGCACACAGGTTGTCAATTACCCTCCTGTCCTGTTCTTTGGACAGCAGGTTGGAGAAGAGGGACAGCATCATGGGGTAGTCTCTGGGAGGGACAGGAGTTGAGGAAAAGACCCTGGCCTACTGGGAAAGTCAGTACCACAGTAATATAATCTAAATAATATGGTCAGTGCTGGTCAATGTGCCTAGCTACTCATGTGAACCATAGCATTGAGTTAAAGAGATTCTCCTGTATTTTGTATACTTTTTAGCCAGTAGTTCTTAGTCGCCAAAGTACCGGAGCATGTCTTTAACAATGCTCAAACACAATCACACACATACATATAGAGAGCATATAGACACACACAACCATTATTGAGAGGGATACTGAGCGACCAGTGGTCCAGCAGCTTGGGCTAGAGCTCCCAGTCCAAACACGCTGTTGTTGCGAACCTCGCTGTCGCTGTCTCTCACCCCGGCCACCAGCACAGGCAGCAGCCGATTGGACAGTTTACCAGCACAGGCCCTTCCCCCAGACACATTGACCAGGGATTGCAGGATCTCTCCGAGCGTGCCCACGGAGAAGGAACGGTCAGCCACCGTGCACGACGATTTCTACAGAGGAAGAGGAACAGATCCATCCTCATTCAATACATATCGAACTAAAAAGTTTATCCTTTCTTATGCTTTTGTACTTACGCTGACATTTTTCGCTAAATAAAAAAAATAAAAAACGGAGGAAATAGTACAATTTCAACACAAAATAAATTAGGAATCAGGTCTATTTCTATATTGTTAGATTATCAACTGGAGTAAATGACTTGGGTTATTTTAACCCGATGCTAAGGGTCTAGTGGGAGTTTGACTCACAGCCTTGTTCATGATGAGGGGCAGAAGCTCATTGAGATAGGGCTGGAAGGTGTCCGCTGGGACGGCAGAGGCCAGCAGAGGGATCCCCTCACCGGCAAACTCCTGGAGCATGGCGTCATACTCCGCCTAGAACACACACACACACACACACACAATGATCATATCATTTGTACCATACACTTGGAAGTACATCCAATCCTGCCAGTACTGGACAGTGTGAGAAAAGAAAAAGAGGAACTCCCACCTGCTGCTCATCATCTTCTGCCTCATCTCCTCCTCCGTCCTGACAGACAGTCTGTAGACCGACAGGGTAAGGGGAGGGTCAAAGAAATGTTATGCTAGGACACCCTTTAACCCCTTACATTTGTGGGAATTGGCCAATATGGATAGGGCCAAATTGAAATGTTTTAACAGAAGAACTGTAAAAAGCATATGCATGACTATGGTAGCAGTTGGAAGAGAACACTTGAGATTACAGGGAAATTATCAGACCAAAAGGTGAAGACAAGAGTTAAACCTGACAAGACTGAATCTAAACATTACATGTTTGATTTTATGCGCATTTTACATTTACTGCACTCTGGATACATGCAGTAACAGAATATTCATTGACATTTTGGAGTATGTGCAAGATAAGAAAAAACTATTACAAGGGTTTGAGTTGAGAGGTCTAATTGGTGTCTCCAAGTGCCTACACCTCTCCAAACTGTGCACAGTTCTTAAGTAATTTGATTGCACTTTCATGACTCAAGGAAAGAGCCTTCAACTAAATTATAAGGTGCTCTTTTGAGCGCTCCTAGCTTTGCCATTGAGGAACTGAAGCGAGCATGCTTGTAGTTTTCTGTTTGGAACGTAGCCCTGCGTCCCCACCATTACACAATTACTGTTGTTCACGTAATCAGGGCCTAAAATTAACACCCGCCACCCACCAAATGCAGATAGATTTTGGCATTGGTGTATATTTCACCAGCCACGTTGGCGGGTGGTCAGGGCTCCACATTGCGAGCCTTTCACTTGCACTTGTGAATAAAAAGTCAAGTATGATCACATTTATAGCAAAATAAATGCTGCAGTAGCGGTTTTCAAAGTATTTCTGCCTCGCGCTGCAACACTGCCTGGCTGGGGGCTGTCATGAAGCACATGAAGAGCTGAGTGACAAATTCATTTTTCGAAGCGCACAGGCATAGAAGTTGGTCTAATTTGCTTGAAACTTAAGTCTATTGAATTGAGACTGTCGTTGTGTTTACTTGGCCATTTACATTGTTATGTTCACAAGCTAGGTTGTTTTTCAATCTGTGTCAGGTAAGCATAATTTTAAAGCTTATTCTATTGCCAACATGGCTAGCTTAGTTATAAAATATGATCTCAGTGTTAGGCTTTCAAAAGGCACTTCTGACAAACAAATTGGACTCATGAGTGCATTCAAGTGCGTGCTCCGAGGCAAATGTTCTTCACAATACGACAAACATAAGCTCATTCTGTTCAGGACATCCCAGGGTATAACGCATGTCATCCTTGTAACTGTGGATCAAACATAGCAATCATAAATGTTGATCATGTAAATTACATTGTCAAATACGGAAATGTGATGTGCACATTTGGACTCGTGGATTGCTTGTATGACATCGAAGCACTATTTATTATAATTCTCAACGTTTCATTTTTCAGAACACCGACTCCTCTCAATTTTCAGCATTTCCATCACTCAGACAAAAGTATCCCAATTAGCGGGAGGGACGGGGGCATCTTCTTGTCGCGCGCAGCGCTGACGTCATCTATACCATGTTACTGTACAGCCACTGGGTTCCGATTTAGGCACTTATCAATGACAAAATCGGCCATTTTCAACCCGTTTATGGGATGACAGGGGCTGTGAGTGGAAAGAGCTACGTCCACACTAACACATATCCTGATATCAGATATCCTAAATGAATAAATGGGGGAAATCCTGTCTGAAGAGCACTCAGGCCCAGCTCAGCTTGGTTTGTGTCAGCTCACCCTCTTCTTGAGCACGTCTCGGATGGCCTGACTGATCTCCTGCAGGCGCCCGGGGCTCTGCAGCGCCTCCCCCTGGCAGGCCTTCAGCACAGCGTTCATGGCCTCTAGCACACCCATCACTACCTGGCGCTCACGCTCACTGCGCACCGCCTCCAAGAAGCTGGGAAGCACCACCCCCAGAAGCTTCTGCAGGGCTGAGGTACGGATGGAGGGAAGGAAGCTTAATTTTGTTTTAAGTTTTAGACAAGCCTGGCTAATTCCCAGAATGAATGTCTAAATTATTATCTAATTTGATACATTTAACAATCATCTTTGAAAAACTCTACAATAGAAATTCAAAGAGACAAAGCTCTGATGAGGTAGAGGTTGAGCGAGCGCGAGTTACCCTGGTGGTTGGTCTCAGTGGGATTCTCCTGCCACACTTTGTGTTGAGCTCGGCAGAACTGGCCCATGGCCCCGAAGGCAGCCCTGCGTACGTCCTCGTGGGGGAACTGAGGGGAGGACGGAACGCATGGTCAGAGATAGACAACACTAACCAACATACAAACTAGCCATTACACAGAGGGAGAGGGGGATAGATGAGCAGTGCTACAGTACTTACATCACGCAGCTCATAGACCTGCTGAAAGCTGGACTCCAGGAAGGGCTGGAAGGCAGCACTGAAGGGGTGAAAAGGATAAGGAGACATCAGTGACTGTGTAGGGACAACACGAACATTTGCATACTGGAAGACAGTGGAAGTTAAATGAGGAAAAGTTGCTGAGGAGTGAAATGATTGTATCGACATATATCAGGACTCTAGGCACAGAGAGGCCAACCGGAGTAGTGGCTAGCTGCAGATACCATGCAATGCTGAATGAATATAGAACCCAGATAGTCTGTGACATACAACACTCAAAATATCTGTATGCTCTTGAGTCTTTACCCGGTGTTGAAGGCAATCTCTCCCAGAGCGTCACAGGCGTCCTCCTTCTCGTCAATGTAGGCATTTTCCACACTGAACCTGGGGAATGGAGAGAGCACAGAGATTCAAATGGAGAAGGACAGAGGGAATCCCCATCCATCTAGCTCTGTAGGCACAAGGCTGACAAACAAAATGGCTTCCATTTGATTTAATTGACAACTTTTATGTCAGCTGCTTTGAAGGCTGCTTTGTGTCCTTACTCCTGCCGTAAAAAAAACCCATAAAAAGGTCATAAAATGTAAGATAATCAGATGAGACAAGTACCCGGCGGTGTCGGTCCCCTCGTCATCCAAAATGGCATCTCCCTCAGCGTCGTCATCATCATCATCGTCATCCAGCAGGACAAACGCCTTGTCCTCCTCAAGGTGAGCCTAAGGATGAATAAAATATACACTACCAGTCAAAAGTTTGGACACACCTACTCATTCAAGGGTTTTTCTTTATTTTTCCTATTTTCTACATTGTAGAATAATAGTGAAGATATCAAAACTATGAAATAACACATATGGAATCATATAGTAACCAAAAACGTGTTCAACAAATCTAAATATATTTTATATTTGAGATTCTTCAAATAGCCTTGATAACAGCTTTGCACACTCGCATTCTCTCAACCAGCTTCATGAGGTAGTCACCTGGAATGCATTTCAATTAACAAGTGTGCCTTCTTAAAAAAGTCCTTCTTAATGCGTTTGAGCCAATTAGTTGTGTTGTGACAAGGTAGGGGGGTATACACAGGATAGCCCTATTTGGTATAAGACCAAGTCCATATTATGGCAAGAACAGCTCAAATAAGCAAAGAGAAACGACAGTTTCAGTCAATAGTGAAAATTTCAAGAACTTTTAAAGTTTCTTCAAGTGCAGTCGCAAAAACCATCAAGCGCTATGATGAAACTGGCTCTCATGAGGACCGCCACAGGAATGGAAGACCCAGAGTTACCTCTGCTGAGTTACAGACCTCAGAAATTGCAGCCCAAATAAATGCTTCAGAGTTCAAGTAACCGACACATCTCAACATCAACTGTTCAGAGGAGACTGTGTGAATCAGGCCGTCATGGTCGAATTGCCGCAAAGAAACCACTACTAAAGGACACCAATAAGAAGAAGAGACTTGCTTGGGCCAAGAAACACAAGCAATGGACATTAGACTGGTGGAAATTTGTCCTTTGGTCTGGAGTCCAAATTGGAGATTTTTGGTTCCAACCGCCGTTTCTTTGTGAGATGCGGTGTGGGTGAACGGATGATCTCTGCATGTGTAGTTCCCACCGTAAAGCATGGAGGAGGTGTTATGGTGTGGGTTGTGCTTTGCTGGTGACACGGTCTGTGATTTATTTAGAATTCAAGGCACACTTAACAAGTATGGCTCCCACAGCCTTCTGCAGCGATAGGTCAATTTGTAAGTCGCTCTGGATAAGAGCGTCTGCTAAATGACGAAAATGTAAATGTAAATGTAAATGTCATCCCATCTGGTTTGGGCTTAGTGGGACTATCATTTGTTTTTCAACAGGACAATGACCCAACACACCTCCAGGCTGTGTAAGGGCTAGTTTACCAAGAAGGAGAGTGATGGAGTACTGCATCAGATGACCTGGCCTCCACAAACCCCAGACCTCAACCCAATTGAGATGGTTAGGGATGAGTCGGACGGCAGAGTGAAGGAAAAGCAGCCAACAAGTGCTCAGCATGTGGGAACTCCTTCAAGACTGTTGGAAAAGCATTCCAAGTGAAGCTGGTTGAGAGATGCCAAGAGTGTGCAAAGCGGTCATCAAGGCAAAGGGTGGCTATTTGAAGAATCTCTAATATGACATATATTTTGATTTGTTTAACACTTTTTTGGTTACTACATGATTCCATGTGTGTCATTTCATAGTTTTGATGTCTTCACTATTATTCTACAATGTAGAAAATAGTACAAGTAAAGAAAAACCCTGGAATGAGTAGGTGTCCAAACTTTTGACTGGTAGTGTATATAATATATTTGTTGGTCTGATGTGATTAATAAGGAGCATCCAGATGCTGCACTTGATGAATTTATGAAATTGCTTCTACCAATTATTGATAAACATGCACATGTTAGGAAACTGACTGTTAGAACTGTTAAGGCTCCATGGATTGATGAGGAATTGAACAATTGTATAGTTGAAAGCGATGGGGCAAAAGGAGTGGCTAATAAGTCTGGCTGGTTGACTTACTGTAAATTGAGAAATTATGTGACTAAACTCAACAAAAAGAAGTAGAAACTGTATTATGAAGCCAAGATCAATGATATAAAGAATGATGGAAAAAAACTTTGGAGTACTTTAAATGAAATTATGGGTAGAAAGACAAATTAAACTCCATCTTTCATCGAATCAGATGGCTTATTCATCACAAAACCATTTGATGTTGCCAATTATTTTAATGATTATTTCATTGGCAAAGTGGGCAAACTTAGGCAGGAAATGCTAACAATGAACAGTGAGCCATCGTATTCATGCATTAAAAAAAACAAATAATGAATGAAAAGCATTGCAAGTTTGAATTTTTTTTAAAGTTAGTGTGGGAGAGGTGGAAAAATGAAGGAAGCCAAAGTAATTCCGCTACCCAAGAATGGTAAAGCGGCCTTTACTGGTTCTAACAGTAGACCTATAAGCTTGCTGCCAGCTCTTAGCAAACTGTTGGAAAAATACAATGCTATTTCTCTGTAAACAAATGAACAACAGACTTTCAACATGCTTATAGCGAAGGGCACTCAACATGTTCTGCACTGGCACAAATGACTGATGATTGGTTGAAAGAAATTGATAATAAGAAGATTGTGGGAGCTGTACTGTTAGATTTCAATGCAGCCTTTGATATTATTGACCATAACCTGTTGTTGAAAAAATGTATGTGTTATGGCTTTTCAACCTCTGCCATATTGTGGATTCAGAGCTACCTATCTAATAGAGTTTTCTTTAATGGAAGCTTCTCTAATGTCAAACATGTAAAGTGTGGTGTACCTCTACTCTTTTCTATGTTTACCAATGACCTGCCACTGGCATTAAACAAAGCATGTGTCCATGCATGCTGATGATTCAACCATATACGCATCAGCAACCACAGCTAATGAAGTCACCGAAACCCTTAACAAAGAGTTGCAGTCTGTTTTGGAATGGGTGTCCACTAATAAACTGGTCCTGAACATCTCTAAAACTAAGAGCATTGTACAGTGGGGAAAAAAAGTATTTAGTCAGCCACCAATTGGGCAAGTTCTCCCACTTAAAAAGATGAGAGGCCTGTAATTTTCATCATAGGTACACGTCAACTATGACAGACAAAATGAGGAAAAAAAATCCAGAAAATCACATTGTAGGATTTTTAATGAATTTATTTGCAAATTATGGTGGAAAATAAGTATTTGGTCACCTACAAACAAGCAAGATTTCTGTCTCTCACAGACCTGTAACTTCTTATTTAAGAGGCTCCTCTGTCCCCAACTCGTTACCTGTATTAATGGCACCTGTTTGAACTTGTTATCAGTATAAAAGACACCTGTCCACAACCTCAAACAGTCACACTCCAAACTCCACTATGGCCAAGACCAAAGAGCTGTCAAAGGACTCCAGAAACAAAATTGTAGACCTGCACCAGGCTGGGAAGACTGAATCTGCAATAGGTAAGCAGCTTGGTTTGAAGAAATCAACTGTGGGAGCAATTATTAGGAAATGGAAGACATACAAGACCAGTGATAATCTCCCTCGATCTGGGGCTCCACGCAAGATCTCACCCCGTGGGGTCGAAATGATCACAAGAACGGTGAGCAAAAATCCCAGAACCACACGGGGGGACCTAGTGAATGACCTGCAGAGAGCTGGGACCAAAGTAACAAAGCCTACCATCAGTAACACACTACGCCGCCAGGGACTCAAATCCTGCAGTGCCAGACTTGTCCCCCTGCTTAAGCCAGTACATGTCCAGGCCCGTCTGAAGTTTGCTAGAGTGCATTTGGATGATCCAGAAGAGGATTGGGTAGAATGTCATATGGTCAGATGAAACCAAAATAGAACTTTTTGGTAAAAACTCAACTCGTCGTGTTTGGAGGACAAAGAATGCTGAGTTGCATCCAAAGAACACCATACCTACTGTGAAGCATGGGGGTGGAAACATCATGCTTTGGGGCTGTTTTTCTGCAAAGGGACCAGGACGACTGATCCGTGTAAAGGAAAGAATGAATGGGGCCATGTATCGTGAGATTTTGAGTGAAAACCTCCTTCCATCAGCAAGGGCATTGAAGATGAAACGTGGCTGGGTCTTTCAGCATGACAATGATCCCAAACACACCGCCCGGGCAACGAAGGAGTGGCTTCGTAAGAAGCATTTCAAGGTCCTGGAGTGGCCTAGCTAGTCTCCAGATCTCAACCCCATAGAACATCTTTGGAGGGAGTTGAAAGTCCGTGTTGCCCAGCGACAGCCCCAAAACATCACTGCTCTAGAGGAGATCTGCATGGAGGAATGGGCCAAAATACCAGCAACAGTGTGAAAACCTTGTGAAGACTTACAGAAAACGTTTGACCTGTGTCATTGCCAACAAAGGGTATATAACAAAGTATTGAGAAACTTTTGTTATTGACCAAATACTTATTTTCCACCATCATTTGCAAATAAATTCATAAAAAAATCCTACAATGTGATTTTCTAGAAAAGAAATTCTAATTTTGTCTGTCATAGTTGACGTGTACCTATGATGAAAATTACAGGCCTCTCTCATCTTTTTAAGTGGGAGAACTTGCACAATTGGTGGCTGACTAAATACTCCCCCCCCCCCCCCCCCCCCACTGTATTTGGTACAAATCATTCCCTAAATTCTAGTCCTCAGCTGAATCTGGTAATGAATGGTGTGGCAGTTGAACAAGTTGAGGAGACTAAATTACTTGGCATTACCTTAGATTGTAAACTATCATGGTCAAAACATATAGATTCAATGGTTGTAAAGATGGGGAGAGGTCAGTCTGTAATAAAGAGATGCTCTGCTTTTTTGACACCACACTCCAAAAAGCAAGTTCTGCAGGCTCTAGTTTTGTCTTATCTTGATTATTGTCCAGTCGTGTGGTCCAGTGCTGCAAGGAAAGACCTAGTTAAGCTGCAGCTGGCCCAAAACAGAGCAGCGTGTCTTGCTCTTCATTGTAATCAGAGGGCTGATATAAATACTATGCATGCCAGTCTCTCTTGGCTAAGAGTTGAGGAGAGACTGACTGCATCACTTCTTCTTATAAGTAACATTAATGTGTTGAAAATCACAAATTGTTTGCATAGTCAACTTACACACAGCTCTGACACACACACTTACCCCACCAGACATGCCACCAGGGGTCTTTTCACAGTCCCCAAATCCAGAACAAATTCAAGAAAGTGTACAGTATTATATAGAGCCATTATTGCATGGAACTCCGTTCCATCTCAAATTGCTCAAATAAACAGCAAACCTGGTTTCAAAAAACAGATAAAGCAACATTTGACCCTATTTGACCTAGATAGTTTGTACAGTGGGGGGAAAAAAGTATTTAGTCAGCCACCAATTGTGCAAGTTCTCCCACTTAAAAAGATGAGAGGCCTGTAATTTTCATCTTAGGTACACGTCAACTATGACAGACAATTCTCTCCAGAAAATCACATTGTAGGATTTTTTATGAATTTATTTGCAAATTATGGTGGAAAATAAGTATTTGGTCAATAACAAAAGTTTCTCAATACTTTGTTATATACCCTTTGTTGGCAATGACACAGGTCAAACGTTTTCTGTAAGTCTTCACAAGGTTTTCACACACTGTTGCTGGTATTTTGGCCCATTCCTCCATGCAGATCTCCTCTAGAGCAGTGATGTTTTGGGGCTGTCGCTGGGCAACACAGACTTTCAACTCCCTCCAAAGATTTTCTATGGGGTTGAGATCTGGAGACTGGCTAGGCCACTCCAGGACCTTGAAATGCTTCTTACGAAGCCACTCCTTCGTTGCCCGGGCGGTGTGTTTGGGATCATTGTCATGCTGAAAGACCCAGCCACGTTTCATCTTCAATGCCCTTGCTGATGGAAGGAGGTTTTCACTCAAAATCTCACGATACATGGCCCCATTCATTCTTTCCTTTACACGGATCAGTCGTCCTGGTCCCTTTGCAGAAAAACAGCCCCAAAGCATGATGTTTCCACCCCCATGCTTCACAGTAGGTATGGTGTTCTTTGGATGCAACTCAGCATTCTTTGTTCTCCAAACACGACGAGTTGAGTTTTTACCAAAAAGTTATATTTTGGTTTCATCTGACCATATGACATTCTCCCAATCCTCTTCTGGATCATCCAAATGCACTCTAGCAAACTTCAGACGGGCCTGGACATGTACTGGCTTAAGCAGGGGGACACGTCTGGCACTGCAGGATTTGAGTCCCTGGCGGCGTAGCGTGTTACTGATGGTAGGCTTTGTTACTTTGGTCCCAGCTCTCTGCAGGTCATTTACTAGGTCCCCCCGTGTGGCGCAGTGGTCTAAGGCACTGCATCGCAGTGCTAGCTGTGCCACTAGAGATCCTGGTTCGAATCCAGGCTCTGTCGTAGCCGGCCGTGACCGGGAGACCCATGGGGCGGCGCACAATTGGCCCAGCGTCGTCTAGGGTAGGGGAGGGAATGGCCGGCATGGATGTAGCTCAGTTGGTAGAGCATGGCGTTTGCAACGCCAGGGTTGCGGGTTCGATTCCCACTGGGGTATGAAAAAAAATAATGTATGCACTCACTAACTGTAAGTCGCTCTGGATAAGAGCGTCTGCTAAATGACTAAAATGTAAATGTAAAAATGTGTGGTTCTGGGATTTTTGCTCACCGTTCTTGTGATCATTTTGACCCCACGGGGTGAGATCTTGCGTGGAGCCCCAGATCGAGGGAGATTATCAGTGGTCTTGTATGTCTTCCATTTCCTAATAATTGCTCCCACAGTTGATTTCTTCAAACCAAGCTGCTTACCTATTGCAGATTCAGTCTTCCCAGCCTGGTGCAGGTCTACAATTTTGTTTCTGGTGTCCTTTGACAGCTCTTTGGTCTTGGTCATAGTGGAGTTTGGAGTGTGACTGTTTGAGGTTGTGGACAGGTGTCTTTTATACTGATAACAAGTTCAAACAGGTGCCATTAATACAGGTAACGAGTGGAGGACAGAGGAGCCTCTTAAATAAGAAGTTACAGGTCTGTGAGAGCCAGAAATCTTGCTTGTTTGTAGGTGACCAAATACTTATTTTCCACCATAATTTGCAAATAAATTCAATAAAAATCCTACAAAGTGATTTTCTGGAGAAAAAACATCTCATTGTCTGTCATAGTTGATGTGTACCTATGATGAAAATTACAGGCCTCTCATCTTTTTAAGTGGGAGAACTTGCACAATTGGTGGCTGACTAAATACTTTTTTCCCCCACTGTATTGATATGTAGGCTACATGTGCCTTTAAAAAAGAAATGTATGTAGCTCTGTCCTTGAGCTGTTCTTGTCTATTAATGATCTGTATTATGTCATGTTTCATGTTTTGCGTGGACCCCAGAAAGAGTAGCTGCTGCTTTTGCAACAGCTAATGGGGATCCTAATAAAATACCAAATATGGAAACTATATTTTTCAGCAATTTCTCAGTGGTGTACGGGAATAGGACGTGAATATAATAGAATGTGAATAGGCGCTATAGCACAGTGTCTGTCAGACTGACCGTGACTCCCTCGGTGGACTTGAGGGACAACAGCATGATGGTGGTGATAGCTGTGAGGTGGGGGTTCAGACAGTCTGGACTCACTGTGGACACGGCCGAGAACAGGCTGTACCTGCACACAAAGAGAGACAGAAGGAGAGAGGGGGAGGAAAAACAGATGGGTTCAATACAAAGTCATCAAAATGTCAGAAAACAGCCATGCACTCTGAAAGCCAAACCCAATAGGCTGGCAGGACTTCTATTAGAGTGTGAGCATCTCAGACACATGCCCACTACATACGTGCAGCGGCGCAGGTCGGGGTCGTCGATGGCGTTGGTGAGGTTGAGTCCCAGCTGAACACACTCGGCAGCCAGGGGGCTGAACACATCCTTGCCTATGGTGCGGGCCAGCACTGACAGAGTGTCTGACAGAATAAAGGAAAACCCATTCACCATCTAGACGTGACTCAGGTTAAATGGATCTCTATGACGCAAGACAGGTTCTGATAGATCAGCTCTAAACTGTCAATAGTATTGACTACAAGTGTCTGCTGAATGACCACATCAAACTGACTAAGCCTTAGAGATAGTTAGCCTACCCAGAGCCTGTGTCTGCAGAGCCCTCATCTCATCCCTGGTGTCAGTGAGGAAGCCCTTCAGACTCTCAATGACAGGCGGGAAGTAAGGAACTAGCTTCTCTTTGGCTGCATTGGCTGAAAGGAAGAGAAGGGATGAAGGGTTAATACAGTTACAGTGATATACGCTCCAGTCTTTTAAAATGTCTAAAATGGACACTTGATGCATCTCAATAGTCTCAAGCGGCCTCCTCTCCTTGTGTCCTTCCATCTGCACTGATCTGCACTGATCTGAAAGATAGTTTTCAAAGCAACTGGGACTACTTTTGACTTTGTCCTTTCAGATAAGTGTGGATGAAGGAAGACAAGAGGAAGCCACCCTAAATTATTAAGATGTAACATGCTCTATTGAAAGGACTTGCAGTGTTACCTATAGCTCCTATGGCACTGACAGCCAGCTCTTTGAGCTTCAGGTTCTCTGCGTTGCTGAGGGCAGACAACATGGTCTCCATCAGAGTGGGCAGGTAGGGCTCAATCTCCAAACCTGATAGGGGATGGAACAGTTAATGAAAACATCAGCACAGAACAGAGGGGGTTGAAAAGATTCTTCCCCCAAATGACATTCAATCTCATCTTATATTATGGGTACCTTGAAAGTAGTCTAGGTGCGAGACTACAGAGCAAAAGAGAGTCAGTGGCTCAACATTTGTTTACCTAGCTACAGCTTAGCATTGTAGCATCCTCCAATTAGTATAGAATAGAACCAAACAGACTTGGGTTGAATATTGGAATGTATTTGGAAATACAGTAAAATACACAGACTATTTGAAAATACTTTCAAATCTCTCGAGTGGCGCAGTGGTCTAAGGCACTGCATCGCAGTGCTAGCTGTGCCACTAGAGATCCTGGTTCGAGTACAGGCTCTGTCGCAGCCGGCCGCGACCGGGAGACCCATGGGGCGGCGCACAATTGGCCCAGTGTCGTCCAGGTTAGGGGAGGGATTGTCCCATCGCGCACTAGCGACTCCTGTGGCGGGCCGGGCGCAGTGCACACTGACACGATCGCCAGGTGTATGGTGTTTCCTCCGACACATTGGTGCGGCTGGCATTAAGCGGGCATTGTGTCAAGAAGCAGTGCGGTTCGGCTGGGTTGTGTTTCAGAGGACGCACTGCTCTCGACCTTCGCCTCTCCCGAGTCCGTACGGGAGTTGCAGCGATGGGACAAGACTAACTACCAATTGGATACCACGAAATTGGCGAGAAAAAGGGGTAAAATAATAATACAAAATCAAATACAATTTGAAATACTATTTGTTTCAAATAAAAGTACTTGAAAACACTCAAAAACACAGAAAAAGTATTTAAAATAACAAATACACATTTTACTGAACCCAGGTCTGGAACCAAATAACAGCAAGACAGTTGGGTATGGATCAGGATGAGGTGAATGGGAGGACCCTCACCCAGGTTTTCCAGGAAGTTCTCCAGGGCGTAGAAGGCCTTGGTGACGTGTCCGATCTTGGCCTGGTTCAGACCCGACATGTAGCCCAGCAGAAGTGGCATCAGCTCGGCACAGTACTTACTGACCTCGGGCTGCAGGTGCTCTGAGAACTGGCCCAGGGCAAAGAGGCCGGCGCTGCGGACTACCTGATTATTGTCTGACAGACTCTGGCACACCGTCTGCAGCATGGAGGACAGCAACCTGACACAGACAGACGGACAGTGGGATTAGCAGGAAAAAAGACAATTCCATTTGAATGAGAGAAAATAAGACAAAAACATTCCTCTGGATTATTACAGCTACAAAACACACTAAAGGACTGGAGATTGACAAATGTAACAAATTAAATCAAATGGTTTTTGGACAGGGAGCTACTGAATAAGAGACATCAGAATGCAGCATTGACTCACTTGGTCCGTATGTGGTCGGCACAGCCCTCAGCCAGCACTGCCATACACATCAAGCCTGCCTTCCTCTCATAGGGGTTCTCACTGGCCAGGCACACCTGGATCAGGGGCATCTGATGGGCACGCCATGGGTCAGACATACTTACTAGAACCATTTGTACTTCTATGCATGGAAATTTGTGTACAACTCAGTATGCCTGCGAGTTATAAACACTGCAGCTACTACTTCTACTACTCCTAATACAATTATGGCTACATACCGCTGCATCACAGAGAGAACATCATGAAGTGACTGATTGAAAGGCAAATTATAGCATTCATATTTGAAGCAAGTGAGTGTGTTTACTAACCAGCTGCTGGAATAGTTTCTCAGGGGGCATGTGAAGAGCCATGGTGTCAATAACCTGCAGACAAACAGATTCTATTTTAGGCACAAAAAAACATCACAAAAATACACCCCTTCTGTTCTGTGCATGTGGTTATTTCTCAAGGGAAGTTAACCTGAGCAGCAAAGTGTTTAGGACTCTCGTTGTCGGTGTCGCCCTCGTCGCCGTTCTCCTCGTCCTCTGGGTCCTCCTCCCCAGGTGGGGGCGCTGCACTCAGCACAGGGAACACTGTCTGCAGGATGGGATTCAGCAGCTTCTGCTTTAGCACCGTCTGCAGGGGGCAGAGAGAGAGAGAGTACAGCATACATCACTGACAAGCGCCACATATTTTAACTGACAAAAGGATAAAAGGGCACAGTACTCGGGGTGCATCTCAAAAGTCTAAAATGGCTTTCTCTCCTTTGTCTTAATTGACCTGAAAACAAGGCTAGGCAATGGCAAAATGGGGGACGCCTAAGAATTTGTGCTCACCTGTCCATATATTTAATGTTCGTGCAGATGTAGGGCGGCAGGTAGCCTTGCAGTTAAGAGCGTTGGGCCAGTAACCGAAAGGTTCGCTGGTTCGTATCCGCGAGCAAACTAGGTGAAAAATCTGTTGATGTGCCCTTGAGCAAGGCACTTAACTCTAATTGCTCCTGTAAGTCTCTCTGGATAAGTTACTAAAATATGAATGTAAAATGTAGGAGAGGAATCTACTTTAAACTATTGAATGATACCTCAGTGTAAGGGCAAAAAGGCTTGAATGTAGGCCATGGCATCCATTTATAACTGGGTGACTTTACCTTGCTCTTGAGTCGGATGAGAAAAGCGATGCAGGAGAGAGCCTTTACACGCAGGGAGTCAGTCAGAGTGGTGTCTGCACTGACCTGAGACGAACATACACACATTTCATTGTCAACAAGACAACCCATCACATTCCCTGCAATGTAAGCAAAAAGTCTTAAATATTATTAGAAGCGCTGTTCTCACCTCCAAGCAGAAATTGACAATTTCAGCAATGTGTGGCACAATGATGGACACCTCACTCTCCATCAGCTCATCAAATACCTCCATGGCCTCACTGGCCTGACCCTGGTCAAGACATAGAAACACTCCAATCAAGGGACAATAGTGTTTGAAGCTCCATTTAATAGTCATCCCTGAAGACTGGTGCAATCATCAGTGCAATACAGCAGTGGTGCTAGAAGGGGCTGACATATTGAATTATCCCCTACCTGGTCTGCCTTGATGAGGTGTTTGAGAGAAATGATCAGTCTTGGGATGAGGGAGCGCATGAGGTTCTGAAAGACAAGACATTTCTTTCAGCACAGCAATGAAGGATGATGGTAGACTACATTACTGTTCACTCCAAAAAGGCATAAAATAGATTGATTCTGGCCTCACCATCTCCTCTGTGCCAGTGTAGGCAGTCATAGCAGTGAGGGTGAGGATGCTGTAGTACATGGCTGTGGGGTTGTCCAGGTCTTGCAGCACGGTGCCAAACAGCTGCAGCAGTTGGCGGTAGTGGGGCTTGAAGGGCTCTGGGTTGGACTCCACCACTTTGCTGAGCAAGAGTAGACCCACCTGAGAGAGACAGGGGTATTTAGTGATTGGCTGAGGGTACCTAAGATCCACATACTTAGAATGTATTCAAAATATTTTGATCTATGTGTATTCTGGCCAATCAGTGAGCAACCATCAAGAGCTCAAATCAAAGCCACATACTGAAAAACCTCTCTCTGTTCATGTACAACAAACACATCACTGTGTTTTAGTTATATCTATAAAAGCTGATACCTGTCTGTCCGTTGGGTTGTTGCTCTTGGTGGACTGGTTGAGGAGTGTGAATAGAGCAGGCCAGCGGTCTGGCGTCTCGTGTTTGACCATCACTGCACTGAGCTGCGAGAGGGAGTGGCGCACTGTGTGTCTGGAAACAGAGGAGGGTTATTGTCAAGTTCAGATTTAACAAGTTTAATTGGTGTGTTGGATGGGTTAGTGGTTATGGTCAGATAGGTTGTAGCTATAAAACTATTATAACCCATTGATATTCTAGTAGGCTATGCCTAGTTTTCCACCTCAAAAGCTACGTGACTGTGTTTTTATGTAAAGGATAAAAGATGCTTACTCTGTCTCCTGCTGAAAAGCTTGTAGTACCATTGCTTTCAGACTAAGAAGCAAGAAAAAAAAAAATAAAAATACAATGGAAAATTATAACAACTAACACTCAGTGGGAATTCATTCAACAGTCCAATATAGAAGACTGGGATATGGCTGATTGTGGGGGAATTAGACAACAAAGGGCAGCCAACCTCTCTCTGTGATCAGGGCTAATCTTCTTCCAATGCTTCTTTACTCTCATCCGCAACATCACTGCAGCTGACTGGCGGATCTGAAGGGAGAGAGGAAAAACAATGAATGCACTGATGAGAGCCGGCGATAAGCCGCACAAATAGAACACATAGAACCAAGTAGGGCAAACCCCTGGGTTACACATATACCTTCAGAAAGTATTAACTAGATAGAACTGCCAAAGGGGGCGGGGTTGCAATCTACTGTAGAGATAGCCTGCACCCATCATCACTGTCAAACGCTCCCTAAAACACTTCAGCGAGCAGGCCTTTCTAATTGACCTGGCCCGGGTATCCTGGATGGTGGTCCTCTGTAGCTCAATTGGTAGAGTATGGCGCTTGTAACGCCAGGGTAGTGGGTTCGATCCCCGGGACCACCCATACGTAAAAATGTATGCACACATGACTAAGTCGCTTTGGATAAAAGTGTCTGCTAAATGGCATATTATTATTATATTGACCTCAATCCGTCAGTAGAGGATGCCTGGATGTTCTTCAAAAGTGCTTTCCCCTCCATCTTAAATAAGCATGCCCCATTCAAAAAATGCAGAACTAAGAACAGATATAGCCCCTGGTACACCCCAGACTTGACTGCCCTTGACCAGCACAAAAACATCCTGTGGCATACTGCATTAGCATCGAACAGCCCCCGCGATATGCAACTTTTCAGGGAAGTCAGGAACCAATATACACAATCAGTTAGGAAAGCAAAGGCTAGCTTTTTCAAACAGAAATTTGCATCCTGTAGCACTAACTCCAAACAGTTTTGGGACACTGTAAAGTCCATGGAGAATAAGAGCACCTCCTCCAAGCTACCCACTGCACTGAGGCTAGGAAACACTGTCACCACCGATAAATGTACGATAATCGAGAATTTCAATAAGCATTTTGCTACGACTGGCCATGCTTTCCACCTGGCTACCCCTACCCTGGCCACCAGCTCTGCACCCTCCGCTGCAACTTGCCCATGCCCCCCCCCGCCCCCCCCGCTTCTCCTTCACCCAAATTCAGATAGCTGATGTCCTGAAAGAGCTGCTAAATCTGGACCCCTACAAATCAGCAGGGCTAGACAATATGGACACTTTCTAAAATTAGCCGCCGAAATTGTCGCAACCACTATTACTAGCCTGTTCAACCTCTCTTTCGTATTGTCTGAGATCCCCAGAGATTGGAAAGCTGCCGCGGTCATCCCCCTCTTCAAAGGGGGTGACACTCTAGATCCAAACTGTTACAGACCTATATCCATCCTGCCCTGCCTTTCAAAAGTATTTGAAAGCCTTCAAAAAGAAAGGAGGACCAAGGCACTCTTCATATAATTAATTAAAATGCCTTTATTTGTATGGCATGTTCAATAGAAACAAGTTTTTTTTTTTTTATCTGACGCATTTCGGCTGCATGACCTTCGTCAGGGAGTACAAAGAAATAATACAATGTCCTCTATTTGAAAGCCTAGTTAACAAACAGTTCACCGAACATTTTGAATCCCACCGTACCTTCTCCGCTATGCAATCTGGTTTCCGAGCTGGTCATGGGTGCACCTCAGCCACGCTCAAGGTCCTAAATGATATAATAACCGCGATCGCGAAAAGACAGTACTGTGCAGCAGTCTTCATCGACCTGGCAAAGGCTTTTGACTCTGTCAATCACCGCATTCTTATTGGCAGACTAAATAGCCTTGGTTTCTCAAATGACTGCCTCGCTTGGTTCACCAACTACTTCTCAGATAGAGTTCAATGTGTCAAATCGGAGGGCCTGTTGTCTGGACCTCTGGCAGTCTCTATGGGGGTGCCACAGGGTTCAATTCTCGGGCCGACTCTATTCTCTGTATATATCAATGATGTCGCTCTTGCTGCTGGTGACTCGCAGATCCACCTCTACGCAGACGACACCATTTTGTATACATCTGGCCCTTCATTGGACACTGTGTTAACAAACCTCCAAACGAGCTTCAATGCCATACAACACTCCTTCCGTAGCCTCCAACTGCTCTTAAACGCTAGTAAAACTAAATGCATGCTCTTCAATCTAACGCTGCTTGCACCCACCCGCCCGACTAGAATCACTACTCTCGGCGGGTCTGACTTAGAATATGTAGACAACTACAAATACCTAGGTGTCTGGTTAGACCGTAAACTCTCCTTCCAGACTCACATTAAGCATCTCCAATCTAAATCTACAAATCGGCTTCCTATTTCGCAACAAAGCCTCCTTCACTCATGCTGCTAAAAATGCCCTTGTAAAACGGACTATCCTACTGATCCTTGACTTTGGCGATGTCATTTACAAAATAGCCTCCAACACTCTACTCAGCAAATTGGATGTAGTCTATCACAGTGCCATCCGTTTTGTCACCAAAGCCCCATATACTACCCACCATTGTGACCTGTACGCTCTCGTTGACTGGCCCTCACTACATATTCGTCGCCAAACCCACTGGCTCCAGGTCATCTATAAATCACTTCTAGGCAAATCCCCGCCTTATCTTAGCTCATTGGTCACCATAGCAACACCCACCCGTAGTATGCGCTCCAGCAGGTATATCTCACTGGTCATCCCCAAAGCCAACATCTCCTTTGGCCGCCATTCCTTCCAGTTCTCTGCTGCAAATAACTGGAACGAACTGCAAAAATCTCTGAAGCTGGAGACACTTATCTCCCTCACTAACTTTAAGCATCAGTTGTCAGAGCAGCTTACCGATCACTGCACCTGTACACAGCCCATCTGTAATTAGCCCACCCAACTACCTCATCCCCATATTGTTATTTACATTGTTATTTATTTTGCTAATTTGCACCCCAGTATCTCTATTTGCACATCATCTTCTGCACATCTATCACTCCAGTGTTAATACTAAATTGTAATTATTTTGCACTATTATTGCCTTACCTCCATAACTTACTACATTTGCACACACTGTATATAGATTTTCTATTTTGTTATTGACTGTACATTTTGTTTCTGTTTATTCCATATGTAACTCTGTGTTGTTGTTGTTTTTATCGCACAGCTTTGCTTTATCTTGGCCAGGTCGCAGTTGTAAATGAGAACTTGTTCTCAACTGGCTTACCTGGTTAAATAAAAAAATTATAACACCCCTTGACTTTTTCCACATTTCGTTGTGTTACAGCCTGAATTTAAAATTGATAAAATGTAGATGTTTTTGTCACTGGCCCCATAATATCAAAGTGGAATAAGTTTTATTTTAAAATTTCTACAAATGTATTAAAAAAGAAAATAAGTATTCAACCCCTTTGTTATGGCAAGTCACATAATAAGTTGCGTGGACTCACCGTGTGCAATAATAGTGTTTAACCAGATTTTTGAAATGACTACCTCATCTCTGTAACCCACACACGCAATTTCACACCGATTCAAACACAAAGACCAGGGAGGTTTTCCAATACCTCACAAAGAAAGGCACCTACTGGTAAATGGGTAAAAAAAAAAAAAGCTGACATTGAATACCCCTTTGAGCATGGTGAAGTTATTAATTACAATTTGGATGGTGTATCAATACAGCCAGTCACTACAAAGATACAGGTGTAATTCCTAGCTCAGTTGCCTGAGAGGAAGGACACTGCTCAGGGATTTCACAATGAGGCAAATGGTGACTTTAAAACAGTTACAGAGTTTAATGACTGTGATAGCAGAAAACTTAGGATGGGTCAACAACATTTCATTTACATTGTAGTTACTAACCTAATTGACAGAGTGAAAAGGAAGCCTCTACAGAATAAAATATGCATCCTGTTTACAACAAGGCACTAAAGTAATATTGCAAAAATAAATTGGCAAAGCTATTTACTTTTTGTCCTGAATACAAAGTAAAAATAAAAAATAATATGCCATTTAGCTGACGCTTTTATCCAAAGCGACTTACAGTCATGCGTGCATACATTTTTGTATATGGGTGGTCCAGGGGATCGAACCCACTACCTTGGCGTTACAAGCGCTGTGCTCTACCAGCTGAGCTACAGAGGACCACCAAAGTGTTATGTTTGGGGCAAATCCAATACAACACTGAACACCACTCTCCATATTTTCAAGCATAGTGGTGGATCTGAAAATGGTTGTCTAGCAATGATCAACAACCAATTTGATAGAGCTTATAGAATTTTGAAAAGAATAATGGGCAAATGTTGCACACTCCAGGTGTGGAAAGCTCTTAGAGACTTAAGCAGAAAGACTCACAGCTGTAATCACTGCCAAAGGTGCTTCTACAAGGTATTGACTAAGGGGTGTGAATACTTATGTAAATTAGATATGTCTGTATTTTATTTACAATAAATTTGCTAAAATTTCTAAAAACATATTTTCACTAGGTTATTGTGTGTAGATGGGTGAGAGAAAAAAATAAATTTGATCCATTTGGAATTCAAGCTTTTGGAATAAGTCAAGGGGTATGAATACTTTCTGTATCTATCACACTGATGATAGGTATTTGTGTAACTAATATGTAGCCTAGTTACATACCTGTGGGTTCTGGGACCCAGTCATAACAGCACACAACGCTGGGATGATAGCTGGGTCTTTAAAAGCCAGCTTCAGCTGGGCGGTGGCCTGTAGGGGAGAAAAACACATGTTGGATATGGTGAATACTGACTGCAATAAAGAAAGCTAGCCAGCCAGGCAGGCAGCTTAAACGTTATCAAACTGTCAAGTTTATGAAGTGACAAAGAGTGTGTATGAAAAGCAGTGATCGTTAGCCACACTGGTTCGTGACGTCACATAATTTGGCTAGCAACAGGTGTCCATTTTCATTAACAGTTAGCTTAGTTAGTTCGTTAGCTAGCTAATGTTAGCTACCGGTGCTTGTTATCAAAGTATGTCAGGGTAAATCCCAAATTCATTAAGGAATCATTACCTGCTGAATAATCGCATTGTCAGGCTGCGTGAGTTGTAAGAGAATTTGTTCTAGTTCCCCAGACATCTTGGCTCTTCCAAAAATCTCAGTTTCTGAGAGTTTGTTATTATTCAAAATTATGCGCAAACTGTCACCCTAAAAGTTGCCCATTAACAGGACTAAACCGGGAGAGCGTCGTCTTAATTATCAAGTCTAGACAGTGAACTAACTCGACTCATATGACAAATTATCTCTAGCTAGTTAGCAACTTTGCTAGCTAGCGTATCAAAATCTTTATGGATACTTTTTTCCACCGGTTTAGTAAGCCAAATCGGCGGCGGTTGAGATTCGAGTGTCGCTCCCAGTCTGGTTCGATCCATCAAGTCACCACGTGGGACAGAATCATACACATTATAACCAGGGACAGAACCCTGGGAGTTCCACGTGAACCGCGTTGTTAAAGGGACCACATTGAAATACACATAAACACAGGCTGCACAAATGTACAGCGCCTGCTTTTGGACGGAGGGCAAATCATGATCAGTTATTGTTAGCGAACAAACAGTACAAACTACAATTCTTGCATGACTAATTCTAAACGTTTTCAAGTTCCAAAAACGTTGTTGTTGTAGTTGAAAATGTTTCAATTGACATGCATAGTAGTATGGGGTGACAATCTGCACCTTCTTTAGGAAACAAAAGAGGGAGTACCTCGTCCCACACTGTGACACTAAAGACATCGATTACCTAAAAAACAACTTGCCTGACTGATCTTCCTGTTCCTAGCTGTTGTTTTCAAGGTGGACAATGCGAGGTCACTTACTTTCTTATTAAAGATGAAACATTTTCTGTCATCACAAATTCTCAAGTAAAGGTTTATCTACAATAATATTTGGTGCCACAGTCTAAACAGAATTATGATGTAGACCTTAATTAAAATGATTTGAAATGGGCTATCTATTTCCTAAGATACATATAATACGTATTTCTCCCTTCATTTATGAGGTAAAACAAAACAATACTTTTTTACAAACAAATAAAGAACTGCCCACGAATATATGCAACGTATGCCATATTCGTATGCCATAACATACACTTGTCCACGCATGTACATTTATCTGTGCATCTACAAAGGATACAAAATGCATTTAGTGTACAAATAGGCCTAGGATTTAGAATAAAATCGCATTTAGGATACTGGCTTAGCGACAGTAACCCCCCCCCCCAACATCAATTAAAATGTCAATGCAGCCAAGGAGGTGGACCACAAACAAGCATTTGAATGGTAATGCTTGGGCCAGTTTGTGAAAGCATTGCTACCGGGGTTGACCATACACCCGCATTTACATGTCCAGCCATTGTGCACGAATTGTGTTTGAGGAGGGGAAAGGCTCAAGTAGAAAGAGATCAGTGATCACCTCCCTTGTATTTGAGGTGTCCTAACAGCATGATCAACAACATGCTGTGAGAGACATGTAGATGTGGTTAGAATTTGCACGTTTAAACCAAACAACAAAGACACATTACAAGACCTATAGATTCAATAATGGAGTGATAATCACATCTAACCAAGATGAGTTGTCCCCTGACCCTGATCTATGTCTGGACAAAAACATTGTGAGTGTAAAGTAAAAGCATAGTCTTTAGGCTACATACTAAATTATTGTCCATTGCAATTTTGGAATTTAATTCCAAGAGCAAATTCAATACATTTCTGGAGGTTAAATTAATACATCTATTTCTACCATTCACAGCGATTTAGGCCACCATTGCTAAACACATTTTTGTAGGTAAAAGGAATCCATCTATTTCTACCACTCACAGCCACCACTATTGCTAAAAATGTTTTGTCTCTCTCCACAATTCAAGCATAATGCAATCCTTGGTTAGATAACTGTTAACTTGGTTGAATAACTGTTAAGGTCAGCACTACCCTGAGGGTACCTGAACCACAATGTGACAGATCTGAAGATAAACTTTATGGCACAGATGTGAGGGAATTAACATTATGGTCCAAGGAGAGATAAACATGTTTGATAAATTAATAAATGAGGCCTACATAGAAGTGATAGGCTATGACACTATGATTGATAGATATGTCAATTATAGTGATTACCCACTGGTCACAGACGTCAATTCAACATCTATTCCATGTTGGTTAAACATAATCTCATTGAAATGAAGTGAAAACAATGTTGATTCAACCAGTGTGTGCCCAGTGGGTACAATTCAAGAGTTGACAATAAAAAGGTCCTAAATGTTTTAAAAAATGAGATATGAGATAAGCAGACAGAGCACAACACTGTACTCATTAAACTTCATTACCACATTTAATCAAATGTAGTCTTCTCAAGGTGAAGAAAGGATCAAACTTATCAATCAAAATGGGAACACACAGTGGCACTGGCAACAATATTGTAAATAACTGTGGCTATTAAGTGTGCACTCTGCAATTAGCTAGTTCAATCTTTAAAAATCTAAATGGTGACGATTTTATGAATATCCGATATATATCCGATAAAGATTAATAAATTGCACCAAAATAAATAAACCATTCATTAAATTGTTTCTGCCAAATACTTTTTTTTAGCATCTTTCTGTAAAAACTATTTTGCTTGTACAAATTACTATTTAGTTAAAAATTTGGGTATACTGAAAATACAGTAAAACTTTTGGGAGTGATTTCTACTGAATGGACCGTTCCAAGGGGCGCGGCCTCACTGCCAAGATAACTGACTGGAAGACTGATTGGCTTCGACCTTGACCCACACCCATATAAACAGCACCCCAGATTTGATACTTTTGTCAATTCTCTATAAAAGCTGTCACTGCTACAACTTAGTTGTTTTCGCTGAGTAGGTAAAGTAAATTTGCTAGCTAGCTACACCAAGTAGCGTTCAAACTTCTGGAAGGGTGGCTTCCGCGTTCTCGATCTTTGGGCTGCTGCGTGACAACTTGTTTGGACATTTATTGTTCACAAAGAAGAGGCCTAACTTTACAGTGGAAGATATGGCAGACTGGAAGGTACCAGTGAGCTACAACCCATCCTACCACGCTTTTGCCTATGGTCTCATGTACCAAGCAGGGGCTGAGCAAAATCATCCCAACTTCTCCAGCTGGGCAGAGGCCACATACAACTCTGGGGTCAGCGGCAGCTACTACTCACAAGCGCAGCATCATCAATCACCACCCTGGAGTCCTGAACAAAACAATGCTGGCACGAGCAATGGCCACTACCCGGGTTCTATGGTATATCTTGGTGACCCTCACAGCCATACCCAGAGTGGCCGCCTTTTCATTTCCCACAACCGGGCTCAGCATGATCCGCGGACGAAGGAGACCGAGCGGCCAAGTAGCGACACTCAGAGCGACTCGGAGACTCATACCTCACCAGGTAAATAGCTAGCCAAGTTACAAGTATGTAGCTAACATTAGCTAGTTCTTGTTTTGTGCTAGGTAATTGCCGAGTAAGTCTCTCCGTGTAACTGCGTTCTACCGTGCTCTAGGTAGTTAGTTTGTCTATGAAACGGGCTGTATCGCCGACATAGTGGTAGTTATTGCACTGTATTTGTTGGGTCTCTGGCTAAAGCTACGATCTCCCTCTCAAACGAGGCCCATGTGTTTGTATCCAACGCCATCTTGCTGGTTACATGTTCTTTGTTATGAACCGCCAAAAGTTCCCACTGGCGCGAGGGTGTACTTTTGGTCAGATTGCTTGGACAATGGCGCAACCATGTGGCTTGCTCGTGAATAACTTAAAATTAAACCAAGCCAAAAGCAGACTTCACATGCCAGCAAGTGTATATACTTTTCTCCTTTCCTCACTCAGATTCGTTGAGTTCAGGGAACGGCAGAGAGGAGTACAATCCTCAAGCCAACCCAGCCACCTGGGTGAGAAAGGAGTTGGATGAGGAGACAGACAGTGGAAGCCCAAATAGCAGTGAGCATGTCTCCAGTTCTCATCCAGAGGAGCTTACAAGTCTACAAGTTATGGGGAGTGAGGACTGCACCCTGCAGTCATTGCCCCCATCTCCTCCAGAGAAAGCGGACAAGAATACCCCCAAACAAAAAGCTCGGACTGCTTTCTCAACAGGCCAAATGGATGCCCTTACCCATAGGTTTAACATGCAGAAGTACCTCACCCCTGCTGAGATGAAGACCCTGGCTGGACTGACTGGGCTAACTTACAAACAGGTGAGTTGATATAAGGCTACTTGCTGTGTTATGAACAACTCGTGCTTCACAAATGTATCGAATCATACAGTTGGCTGGTATTTGCTTCTTATGATGTTGACTAATGTTTTTTCCTCTTTCAGGTAAAAACGTGGTTCCAGAATCGCAGGATGAAACTCAAGAGGCACCAGAAAGACGACAGCTGGGTATTACCTGGCTACCCCAACCCTGGATACCCCAACATGCCACAGCACCCTCAGGTAAGTACAATTATAATGCTCTGTAACCTAATGTAGCAGGCGTTTAAAGATGCCTGAGCAGTGTCCCCACATGTTTTTCGGGGGAAACAGATGTTGGGTTGAAAATACTGTATCCCTTAACTGGAAACATCCACTTTCTGCGGACACTGTGGAGTGTATGCGCTCTAACCCTGTCCAATAGACATTTTCCATACCCAGTTAAGGCACTTGGCCTATTTTTTTTGCAATACTACATTTATAGTACACATTGCTCAACCAGTTGTCTAGCTTGTGCATCCTGTTGGTCAGTAACAGGGCGGCAATAGGCTTGGACATAGAGTGACTCGTCCACAATGGAGACCTGTCCCTAGTCTGGACAATGTCTTAAAGGCAGGACGATACATCACCACACAGCTGTGCTTTTGCTTCATGCTTTGCTTCATGCTGACCTTCTGTGATATTAACCACCTATTTTTATTTTTTTTATAGTTTCAGGGTGAACCTCAAGCACAGATCCAGGACCACACCAATGCTCAACAGTTTCGAGAAGCCATGTTAAGGAAGAGCCCTCAACAGAACCTGCCTTACTATGCTGGTGGGTACCCTCGGCCATCCTCTTCTCCCCCCCAGCCCCCTGCAAGGCCCCCGGGCAACTGGCCCCTGCCCCCAGCTGTGACTCACTATGAGTACCCCAATGGCTACAGCACCGCGAGGGGCTACAGCACGGGCAGTGTAAACCACAACACTAGCATCAACAGTGACGACGGGAACGCCATCAGCCCCATGCGCATGACCATGATGCATAACTCTAGCCAGTAACCAACAGGGGTATCATGTTAGCGGTCTTGGTGGTAAATTGACTGTTTTGTCAACTTGTGAAATTTATTTTTGTTTTGAAAGATTATTACAATTATTGTTGATATTCACACAGGCAATTCTCTATTTTGTGACTAGGTGTTGGCTAATCTTATCAATCCATTTTAACCATTCGCTGGTCCCGTTTGAAAACTGTTGCCCTTGTTCATATTCTTTAAAAAAAGTTCTTATCCGAGTATTTAAAATTGATGTGTTTGCTCCGTCTGCTTTTTGACACTCAACTCTGACAAAGCTTTGCTGTGTCTATGCTGGAAGTGGCACGCTTTTATTCATTCACTAGGCTATTTGATGAACTGATCTGTGCAAGGCACTGCTAGACATGTTCCTGTACTGAATGTTTGTCGGTCCATGCTGCACCAGATTTGTATCATATTGGGTGCTCTTAACATTACTGCCGTGTTTTTATGACCTCTATTTGTTGTACAGTGTTTGGTGATTCTTCTTGGCTAATTTCAAGTACCCCCCCCCCCCCCCCCAATGTTTTTCCTACTTTGCGCCCACAGAACACTGACCATGTGTTCAAGTTCTGCCTAGTTTTTTATTTTTTTATTTGTATAATTCACCCTATTGGTGCATAGTCTACCTGTAATAAAACAATGTGGGATTTACTTGTCTTGGATGATATACTCCTGACAGTTTGGGCAAATTGTTGATTTGTAGATTTAACTTCATTACACAGGTTTTTTTTCTCTCCTTTTGAAGGCATAATTGTTTGACAAACCCAGCAACCTACCTGGTGTAAATATGTACATAATTCCACACTGAATGCTTTGACCAGGGTTTTTGGTAATGAATGTAATCTGTTACTGATATGTTGTCAGACTCTTGCATGGGGAAGAAGGACTTGTAAACCATGTCTTAACAGGGCAAACGCTCATTCAAAATACTTAGTTTATGTAGTTGGACCTCTACAAAACAATTGTATGATTATTAGTTAAGGGGAGTGGTGTAGGTTAAAAGGTGAGCAAAGTAACTTCAGATGTAGGATTTCTGCATCATTTGTTTATCTTGTGTTTATCCCCAAGCTATCCATGTAAAATGAGCGCCACGGGCAGTTAAGTAACCTTGCTCAAACCGGAATCACTCGTAGGTGCCTGCTGTTTCTGTAGCGTGAGGCAGCTTGACGTACAAGTGCACTCCATGGCCAGGATGCTAGTCTCAGGTTGGTGGCACCTTAATTGGGGAGAACGTGCTCGTTAATGAGTGGAGCGGATTGAGTGGCATGGTATCAAATGTGGTTTCCAAATGTTGGCCATTATGAGCTGTTCTCCCTCAGCAGCCTCCTGTGAATGAAATAATTCTGAGTAGAACTGTTAATACAGCTGTGTAACTCTTGAGCTAGCTCATCAGCATAAGTATGTTGTAATAAAGATGTCTTTATTGAAAATATTGTATATTTACACCGAAACTGCACGCCTGCGTCACATTGGCGCACACACACACACATTCACGCATTATTGCACAATACAACTTCACACACTCACAGGACACATTCATCCCTTTAAAGAGCCCCTTTTAGATAGTGACATTAAATCCATCAATCCCTTATTCAACCTCCTGGCAGTCTTTCATCCATATTTCTAGAAGACCCCTGGGTCCGCCTCTTTTTCCCCACAGGAGGCATGTACACGGACCCGTTCCAATTTGAAAATCCTCACTTCCTTGAGGCAACCACTGACCTGTATGTGATTGGCTAGGCAAATACATTATTCCACCAATCAAATCGACTAAATGAAAGGACACACTAAGACATTCAAACTGGGCCGTTATGTAAACGGCTGCACATTCCCTTAGTCCATCTTGAGGCTGCGGTAGATGTAGCGAATGAAGACCAGTGAGGCCCAGAAGGAGACAGTCCCCAGCATGAGTGAAAAGACCAGCGCTGTGAGGAGAGAGTAACCAAAGAACTCTGCGCTCTGCACCAGGCCGCTCATACTCGAACGATTACGGTAGTAAAACACAGAGTAGACGAAGATGAAGAGGCCTGTGGAACCTGTGCTCAGCACGCTGCGCCACCACCAGCGGTAGTCCTCGCCCGACAGCAGGAAGTAGGTGAGCGCCACCGAGATGCAGGCACCCACCGAGAGGAGGATGGCGAACACGCAGAGGAGGATGCCGTACAGGGTGTAATGCTCGCGGCCCCACACGGTGGCAAAGATGTAGTACAGCTCCACTGAGATGGCACTGAAGGAGGGAGAGAGGTTAGGGCAATGAGTAGGCTAGACACAATATACACACACTTTATGTATGAAAAAGTATGAAAAGTGTAAATGTCTGGGTGTTGGTCAACGTTCTGTGACAGATTACTTTGAGCTAGCTGCTTAAATTTGCCCTGACATGGAGGGAGAGAAATTAGAATCATAAAATAAGACAGGAGTAGGACATACACACTAACGTTATAGATGCACTCTGTTTCTGGTTTTTGTTCTGTGACAAATGACTGAGCTACTAAAAGGCACGACCACAAATAAAATGTGATCGATTGGTTTTATACACAATGTCATTGCCACAGAAGGGCGATTATAGACTCTAGAGCAACAGCTGTTTAACTGAGATGGGAAAAGCACTGACTCATGACTCAGCAACGGGACTCCATTACCAAACACAGAGAGAAGCTCTCTGTTATATTGATATTGTTACACACTCACACACACCTGAAAGGCAGGAAGCCCCCAATGGCCATGTGCACAGCCGTGTGCTTGTACCAGGGCTGTGTGGGGATCTGGCGGGCGATGTTGCGTGTGCGACAGGGGGCCTGGAAGTTGCCTGCCCGGTTCTTGCCCACAATGCCCCCGATGACGGTGAGGGGGAAGCCCACCAGGACCCAGGCCCCCAGCAGCAGCAGCACTGTGGAGGCAGGCAGGGCCTGGGTGGAGCCGCTCCACCAGTGGACTGAGTTCACCACACTCCAAGTCAGGAACAGGGGAGCTGTGTGATCGAGGGAGGATGGTTGGAGGGAGGGAGGGAGGAGGGATAGGTGGGAGGGAGGGAATCAAGGAAGTAGGAAGAAATGGTGGGTAGCAGGGAGAGATGGGTGGAGAGAGGGAAGGAAGGGAGAAAGAGAGGTGAAAGTCAGGTTCAAGCAGAGACGGAGAGAAGAGACAGAAGCTTTATGGTAATTGAAACTCAACAGTTCGAGACACATCCTGCAGAAAAATGAATACACAGACTGTGTACATTTTAGATGTTCACAGAGTTTTATTGTAATTGAAACTCAACCAGACTTAACAAAAACAAATGACATTGACAATATATATGGAATATTTACGATATGTATCACATGAAAGACCAAATCTGTCCACTCACCTGAGAAGAGTGAGGAGGTGAGGATGATATTCCAGACCCAGCGCTGGCCATGTATCTGTGTGTAGAAGCTACAGGAACAGTATCCTGACACGCAGCTCGTCAACGCGTACAGCATGATGGCAGCCGAGTTGATGGCACCATGGCGATGCACATTAAACATTCCCAGCAGCGCCATGACGATGATCCCTACAGAAACCAGAGACACAGAGGTCAAATGGGAGAGCTTGGGGGAAGGAGCCTGTAGTGATAACCACATTTCTCAATTTCTCCACACTACTTTGTCACAGGCATGGTACATGTACATTCACACCCAAGTTATGTGTGTGTGCACGCTGATCAGATTTCTAGTTCTTGTCACACAGACATTCAATCCTCCTCCAATGGGGAGTAACAATGGGAAAGGAATGCGATGCATTTAATGAACGCTAGAACTAGGTGTCAAATGTCACACAACCATTCACAAATGGTCAAATTCAACCCTAATCTGCTCGTAGATTTTCCTGGATTGCGATTCTGTATTTTGAGCGGCAGTAATTGTAAGATTTAATTAATGTGTTCTGAGTGTTAAACCAGTATGTTGATGGTTACCTGTGGCCAGGGTTAGAAACTGAGCCCCCACTCCCAACACGGCACACAGCAGGCTTTTATAAGGGGGGAACCTAAAGACATCTGTGTGGATTATCTTCCAGCCATTATCCCCTTGGTCCAGATCATCACAGCCGCCCTCCTCCTCAACATTGTACCTACAGGAACAACCAGAAGAGAGAAAGATTTTGAGATATGGGAATGTCATTCCACACAATTTAGCTACCATTTCCACAAATAATCCAAATAAAACATGATATATAGCCACAAATAGACCTACTCTAATTATACCCAAACTCTCGCATGCCAATTTCAATGTGAGCTCTCCCGTAAAGCAGAACATCATTACAATGTCTAAACCTCCTCACTCCGTCCCCTCATTGGTCACCTGGCAAAGTCATTCTTGAGGACCCTCATGAGGATGATGATGACGAAGCCCAGCAGCAGTACTACCAGCACCAGGGAGTTGATGATAGACAGCCAGTGGATCTCCAGGGTCTTGGGGAAGAACGAGTAGTCCCTCAGCCTCTCAGCCCGCCGGGCATGGGTCAGAGGACTCTCGAACCAGTGCACACTGTAGGTGAAGGACAGTGCCAGCCCGCCGCCCGTCCCCACCGCCCCATGCCCGGCGCCACCGCCACCCTCCTCCAGGGGCACTGGCTTGGAGTCCTTCACCGAGACGTTGGCAAAGATCACAGAGTTGCCGTTGTACTCGATGTTGAAGTCCAGGTGTGTCCACAGCCCCACCTATACACACACATATCCATACATACATACATACATACATACATACATACATACATACATACATACACACACACACAGAGAGACACGCAAAGTCAATGCAGGTAGACATGTATTTGGGTTTTGCCATGAGGGAGAGAGAACTGAAGGAAGTCAGACTAACCCACCTTATGACTATGAGGCAGGAAGCCACTCTCCTCCATGTACCCCACAAAGCCCCAGATGGGAATGTCATCCAGGACAAACTCAAAGTAATACAGCTCCTCTATGGCCTCTCGGAGTTGGTCCACCTACAAGAAAGGAGCAATAAAGGAAAAACATCACCAACTAGGAATTAGTTACACCTTTCCATGATGCAATGTAATCAAATCAAATGTTATTTGTCACATGCGCCGAATACAACAGGTGTAGACCTTACAGTGAAATGCGTACTTACAAGCCCTTAACCAACAATGCAGTTTAAAGAAAAATAAGTGTACTGTGAAGTTGTGCGTATTTTGTCAGAATGCAAATACCTCTTTCTCTGTGAGGGTTAGCTGGCAGAGTGACTTCTTCTCTGTATTCTCTCTGAATTTGATTTCATACAGGGACTCTGCCATCCGATCCCCATCAAGCACTTCTCCTAGACTAAGGGACTTGTGGTGCACCTGGGGAAAAAAGGTTCTCAGACATGTTATGCCAAGTCTTAATAGAGTTATTATACACACTACTAACATGCATCTGAAGAGCCCTACAAGGATAAATCATTAGTCATATATTTGCATATTCACCAGTGGAGTCTGCCGAGGGGAGAAGGGCTCATAATGGCTGGAACAGGACAAATGGAATGGCATCAAACACATGGAAAATATGTTTGATGTACTTGATACCATTCAACCTATTCCGCTCCAGCCATTGCCACGAGCCCATTCTCCCCAATTAAGGTCCCACCAACCTCCTGTGATATTCACATGTATTCACTGACCTCTTTAGGCCTGCAAACAGGCAACGTGTAGTAATGATACGTTTCCTGAGGGTTATGGTAAGGACCAACTTTGTTGACGTACAAGGTTACAGGATCCCCTTGCTTGTAGCTCACTTTAGCCCATGTTATCTGTGGCACGAGACACAGGACCAAGATGCAATAACCTATCATCTGGCAGACTCCTTGTTGGGTAGGATGTTCAAATTCAGCCATCATGGGCCCTGTTGAAAATGAATAGATTCCAATAAATTGGACAGGTCAAGTGTCAAAAAGCCTATAAGCATATTCAGTGATAGCAAACCATTGCATCATATGTTAATATAACACTACTTTACTATATCAACAACAGCCATCACCTACATAGCGCCTGTCCCTGGCTACCTGTGAAACAACAGCACATCGATTGCAGGAGTAAACTCTGCAAAGAGTCTACTGGCTACGTTATTATAGTTGAATAAACATGCACAATTACTTGCTTTCATCTAAAGCCCTCTAGCTACATCGAGCAACTAGCTATCGTACCGTGCATCTCGTTAGCTCTAAAACAGATCGTACCAAACCTGTCTGCCCGCTGGATTCCTCAGATTCCAGGCCCAATAATACTCGCCTCCTCAGCGATGTCCTGCTGGGATTGAATCTAAATATTGATAAACATTTTTAATATTCCAGTTAGTTTCAATTTTGGTACTTCGATTATATAGAAATCCAGATATGTATAATAATTGTAAAGACACATGAATCGGGATGAAGAAGGGGACCGACTCCACGTCACCTTAAAACATAAAAATAGCTAACGATGGCTGACTTTTCCGGAGTGGGCGGTGTGAAGAAGCAAAAACACACCTCCACGGTACCTATCTTCAAATTATTATTCATCAACCTCTTATATTTTACTATCTAAATAAAATATTATCCACATAATTATTTCGTTTTTGCATAGTAATTGTTGTGGTGTGTCCTCTGTTTACTGTTTAAATTAATAATGATATTTCTCTCGACCGGATTTCCCTTAATCTCACTAACCAATCAAATATGTTTATTTACTTCCTGTCAAAGACAGGCCTTTTAATCGGTTACGGGTCAATCGATGAACAATACTCGGAGAGTCCTGGATTGTAATGCCTTGATTGGGATTTCGCGCGAAATAGACGCATTTTCTTCGCGGCCGAAACAGCAGATTCCGCGAAAATGACACGAGAACAGTCGGTGAGTTGCATGTAAACAATGTTTTATTCTTATGTTAGTCATGATACGTCCTTATTTTATTCAATTCTATATTGTAGGAAATATTTACATTCTAAAATCGTTAAGGTGCTAAGGTTAGTTAGCTAGATAGCTGTCTAAACGCAAATATACATCGCACGCGATACAGTTTTGGAAACATTTGGAACTTTCATATAAGCTAGAAGTGATTTTTCAAATACAAAATATACATTTACTGTACGCAGTTTAGGAAAGTTGCACACGTCTGTGTTTTGAGAAACACATGCGATCCTGCCGGAAATATGGAATGGAATGGTCCAATGGAAATGCGAGCGCATGGTGAGAGGATGTGTCATAGTGTAAAAACAGCCGGGTGCAACTTTGCTAAACTGCTCACAGTAAGTGTACTGTTATATTTAGTGTTTGAAATATTTTTTCTCACTTATACTGTTTCCAAAACAGTATTGCTAGCTTGGATTAATAATGTTTCTAAACGTTAAAACAGAACGCCGGGATTGTAGTTCATTGATAGATCTGTGGTCCATATTTCAATTGAGAACTCAAGGCCTGGGTATAGCCTACACACTGGGGTTCTCGAGAGCTAATGTTCCTGCATGCCTGCTGATCTACATGTGTGCAATACACTAGAAAACCAAAAGTGTGTGGACACCTGCTTGTCGAACATCTCATTCCAAAATCGTGGGCATTAATATGGAGTTGATCCCCTCTTTGCTGCTCGAACAGCCTTTCACTCTTCTGGGTAGGCTTTCTACTAGATGTTGGAACATTGCTGCGGGGACTGGATTCCATTCCGCTGCAAGAGCCTTAGTGAGGTCGGGCACTGATGTTGGGCAATTAGGCCTGGCTCGCAGTCGCAATTCATCCCAAAGGTGTTCGATGGGGTTGAGGTCAGGGCTCTGTGCAGGTCAGTCAAGTTCTTCCACACCGATCTCGACAAACCATTTCTGTATGGACGTCGCTTTGTGCAGGGGGATTGTCATGCTTAAACAGGAAAGGGCCTTCCCCAAACTGTTGCCACAAAGTTGGAAGCGCAGAATCGTTTAGAATTTCATTGTATGCTGTAGCGTTAAGATTTCCCTTCACTGGAACTAAGAGGCCTAGCCCTAACCATGAAAAACAGCCCCAGACCATTATTCCTCCTCCACCAAACTTTACAGGTGGCACTATGCATTGGGTCAGGTATCGTTCTCCTAGTATCCGCCAAACCCAGATTCCTCTGTCGGACTGCCAGATGGTGAAGGGTGATTCATCACTCCAGAGAATGCGTTTCCACTGCTCCAGAGTCCAATGGCTACGAGCTTTACACCACTCCAGCGGACGCTTGGCATTGCGCATGGTGATCTTAGGCTTGTGTGCGGCTGCTAGGCCATGGAAACCCATTTCATGAAGCTCACAACAAAGTTATTGTGCTGACGTTGCTTCCAGAGGCAGTTTGGAACTCGGTAGTGAGTGTTGCAACTGAGGACAGACGATTTTTATGCGCTACTCGCTTCAGCACTCGGAGGTCCCGTCCTGTGAGTTTGTGTGGCTTACCACAACAGCACTTACAGTTGACCAGGGCAGCTCTAGCAGGGCAGAAATTTGATGAACTGACTTGTTGGAAAGGTGGCCTCCTATGACGGTGCTACGTTGAAAGTCACTGAGCTCTTCAGTAAGGCCATTCTACTGCCAATGTTTGTCTATGGAGATTGCATGGCTGTGTGCTCGATTTTATACACCTGTCAGCAACAGGTGTCTGAAATAGCCGAATCCACTAATTTGAAAGGGTGTCCACATACTTTTGTATATATAGTGTATGTCAACATGGAGTGAATGAATATACTTTGTATTTTATTCTAACCCATTCTAATGTCTTATGATATTTTAATGTATGTTAGTCATGTGATTTCTCTTGCATCTTAAGCCACCTCATGGGCACGTTTACCAGACCATCCGCATGCTGGAGCACGGGATCAAAGCTGTCTACGTGTTTGATGGCAAGCCCCCACAGCTGAAGTCAGGAGAGGTAAGGATGGGGGTCACATCAAGATCCTTCACAACTTTATTGCACCTCCTTGGGATGTTGATATGCATGGATGGATGGGCATTATGTATTTTTTCAAGTGTTGAACAATGTCTTAATCTAACCTCTCTCTCTCTGTGGTTTTAGCTGGAGAAGAGAGGAGGGCAGAGGCTGAAAAACTGCTGGCCCAGGTGCAGGAAACAGGTACAGGAAGTCACCAACGGCAAATAAACCTTTACACGATACGGAAATTACACCGACACGTGTGTAATGATGACCAATTTTTATATTCACCACCAGGGGAGCAGGAGAACATTGACAAGTTCAGTAAGCGTCTGGTGTAAGTTACCCGGCAGCACAACGACGAGTGCAAGAAGCTGCTCAACCTGATGGGGGTGCCATACATCAAGGTTTGTCTCAAGTTTTGTTCCTTTCCTTAGCCACCCATAACCTATCAATCTTCTGTGCACATAGTTACACCTCATACCATTCATTCAGTATTGAATGTATCTAAATGATCTTCCATCTCACCAACTAGGCTCCATGTGAGGCAGAGGCGAGCTGCTCTGGTTAAGGTGGGGAAGGTGGTCGCCACGGCAACAGACGATATGGACGGCCTGACATTTGGAACAGGGGTCCTACTGAGGCACCTCACCACCAGCGACGCAAAGTACTACTGCTGTTTCTATACCACCTTACCCATCTTTCATCCTATTTTATATGTGCAACATCCCAGTCATACAGTGTATCTAACAGTATTATAACAATATAAGCTGTGTATGTGTTTGATATTTGTTTTTGAGGTTTCTTGTAACATTTCTGTTTCTCTATTTTAGGAAGCTTCCTATTCAGGAGTTCCACTTCACCCGCCTTCTGCAGTACATTAATCTGACCCATGAGCAGGTATCTCCAACTGCAGCGTCTGTCAAGAACTGTCTGAATGTTTAGTCTTTTATTGTCATGTTGTGACTTTGGAACATGACTTTTTGCCAGTAGGTGTATAGTCTTTTATCTCTGCCACTCACTCTCCCCTCTGTATCACTCTCCCCTCTGTATCACTCTCCCCTCTGTATCACTCTCCCCTCTGTATCACTCTCCCCTCTGTATAGCCTCTGTCTCAGTTTATTGACCTGTGCATACTGCAGGGCTGTGACTATCCTGGTACCATCAAGGGAATTGTGCCCAAGAGAGCCATCGACCTGATCAGACAGCACGGCTCCATCGAGGAGGTTCTGGAGAACATCGACCCTTCTATGAGTTCACCTGTGCTGTGACTGTCAAACTTAATTTAAATACGCCGTTTGTAACCCCAATTCTCAGTTGTTTTAATTTGCTCCTCTTAAGCACACACATGCACGACAGTCCCACATCATAAACAGTCCCTAGTTTGAGTTCCAAACAGTCACACAGCAGTTATCCCAGTCCCAGAAGTCAGTGTGAGTGTTTGACTCCTTGGCCCCTTGCAGAAGCACCCTGCCCCAAAGGACTGGCTGTATAAGGAGGCCAGAGGTCTGTTCCTGCAGCCTGACGTGATGGACTACTCCACCGTAGACCTCAAGTGGAGCGAGCCCGACGAGGACGCCCTCATCCAGTTCATGTGTGCAGAGAAACAGTTCGGGTACAGGATAGGATCGACATAATATAGCATCACTATGGTTATATTCCAAGCCTTATGGAGCCTCACTCTGATTTATGTGAGTAAAAAATGGCAGGGGTGAATCCTACTCCTCCCAATGAAGTCAATGCATGACTAAGGGGAAATTTGACTTAATGGTGGAAATACGAGAATATACGCTTCAGTCACACTTCTGTATTCTAAATAAGTCGATTTTATTTACATCATTTGAAGTGGCACTGTACTTTCCAACAATGGCAGTGCTTTTTCACGCTGTTGAAATCCCGCTCCACATCCACATGATGTTACGCCATGGTTGGTATGAGTGATAAAATGTATCATACTGTGAAGTGTGTTTGTGCTCTGTGTTCACAGTGAGGACTGCATCAAGAACGGCTGTAAGAAGATGATGAAGAGGCAGCACACAGGGACGACTGGACTCCTTATACACCATCACCGGCTCTCTGAGAGAGAGAAACCTGTACAAATTCTATGCATTTGAACAGGGTTTGGAAGTAGGTGCCAGGCACACCGGTTTGAGTGTGTCAAGAACTGCAAAGCTGCTGGGTTTTTCATGCTCAACAGTTTGCCATGTGTATCAAGAACGTCCAGCCAACTTGACACAACTGTGGGAAGCATTGGAGTCAACATGCAACTCAATATTAGGAAGTTGTCCTTAATGTTTAGTACACCCAGTGTATACCGTACCTCATCTATGTTTGATTAATGAAAAACATTGTCCACACCATACTGTATCCATATTAAACCATATTAAAATAATCCTCTACTTCCTCCTTTTTATTTAGGAACCTGAGATAAAGGGATCAGCCAACAAGAAATGGAAGACTGATGCAACCCCAGGCAAATTAAAAAAGGGTAAATGGACTTCAAAGAGGAAGTGAAGCAAGGAAAGAGGAAGTTGAGTGTGTGTGTGATAATCAGTCAACTACAATTACAGATACCTACAATTATAGTTACTCTGTATCTAACCAAGTCTGTTCTTCATGTTGAAAAATGTGAAAACCGGGTAGTGGTTAATGTACTCCAATTAAGCAAGTTTTATGAAAATACTTTTGTCTTGAATAAAAGTAATAATGGGTATTGTCTCTATTTGGAAGGTGTTCTTAATGTTTTGTGCACTCAGTGTATTTCCAGGCTGAGGTTGGAATAATACTGTGAAAATTGTGGTATTGCCCTTTTAATGTAAGAGCTTTATGAAAAGACTGCCTGAAATTTCTGTCTCCTTTGGTGGAATGGAGTTTTGGCCTGCCTGGTGACATCACCAGTCGGTAAACTACTTCAAATACCAATAAGAAAGAGAGTTCTAAACCTCTCTGCCAGTAACAGCTAGTTTTCAGTTTTCCCCTCCCAGACAGTCCTAGCAAAATTCTTGCATGAGAAATTGCTCTTGCTAAGAAGCTTTTTTCTTCTTCTTTTTGACCATTTTAATTGAAACCAATCACAGTAAGGTAGTTAATTGTAGTATGTCGCCCCTGGAGCAAAATCAGGTTAAGTGCCTTGCTCAAGGGCACATCGACAGATTTTTATATTTTATTTATATATTTTTTTATTTAGCAGACGCTTTTATCCAGAGCGACTTACAGGAGCAATTAGGGTTAAGTGCCTTGCTCAAGGGCACATCGGCAGATTTATCACCTAGTCGGCTCGGGGATTAGAACCAGCGACCTTTCGGTTACTGGCACAACGCTCTTAACCACTAAGCTACCTGCCACCTTGTCAGCTCTGGTATTCTAACCAGCAACCGTTCGGTCGGCTTAGGAATTGGAAGTATGTCACTGATGGGACTCTTGAGATGACCCACTTGAATTGTAACACTTTTGTTTGTCAGAGCCCACTATGGGTGTATGATAGCTTCTCCTTTCCTGTGGACGGTTTTCATGATTGTAAGGTAAATGTTTGACTTTTTCATGATCTTATACACTGCTCAAAAAAATTAAGGGAACACTAAAATAACTTCCTAGATCTGAATTAATGAAATAATCTTATTAAATACTTTTTTTCTTTACATAGTTGAATGTGCTGACAACAAAATCACACAAAAATTATCAATGGAAATCAAATGTATCAACCCATGGAGGTCTGGATTTGGAGTCACCCTCAAAATTTAAGTGGAAAACCACACTACAGGCTGATCCAACTTTGATGTAATGTCCTTAAAACAAGTCAAAATGAGGCTCAGTAGTGTGTGTGTGGCCTCCACGTGCCTGTATGACCTCCCTACAACGCCTGGGCATGCTCCTGATGAGGTGGCGGATGGTCTCCTGAGGGATCTCCTCCCAGACCTGGACTAAAGCATCCGCCAACTCCTGGACAGTCTGTGGTGCAACGTGGCGTTGGTGGATGGAGCGAGACATGATGTCCCAGATGTGCTCAATTGGATTCAGGTCTGGGGAACGGGCGGGCCAGTCCATAGCATCAATGCCTTCCTCTTGCAGGAACTGCTGACACACTCCAGCCACATGAGGTCTAGCATTGTCTTGCATTAGGAGGAACCCAGGGCCAACCGCACCAGCATATGGTCTCACAAGGGGTCTGAGGATCTCATCTCGGTACCTAATGGCAGTCAGGCTACCTCTGGCGAGCACATGGAGGGCTGTGCGGCCCCCCAAAGAAATGCCACCCCACACCATGACTGACCCACCGCCAAACCGGTCATGCTGGAGGATGTTGCAGGCAGCAGAATGTTCTCCACGGCGTCTCCAGACTCTGTCACGTCTGTCACATGTGCTCAGTGTGAACCTGCTTTCATCTGTGAAGAGCACAGGGCGCCAGTGGCGAATTTGCCAATCTTGGTGTTCTCTGGCAAATGCCAAACGTCCTGCACGGTGTTGGGCTGTAAGCACAACCCCCACCTGTGGACGTCGGGCCCTCATACCACCCTCATGGAGTCTGTTTCTGACCGTTTGAGCAGACACATGCACATTTGTGGCCTGCTGGAGGTCATTTTGCAGGGCAGTGCTCCTCCTGCTCCTCCTTGCACAAAGGCGGAGGTAGCAGTCCTGCTGCTGGATTGTTGCCCTCCTACGGCCTCCTCCACGTCTCCTGATGTACTGGCCTGTCTCCTGGTAGCGCCTCCATGCTCTGGACACTACGCTGACAGACACAGCAAACCTTCTTGCCACAGCTCGCATTGATGTGCCATCCTGGATGAGCTGCACTACCTGAGCCACTTGTGTGGGTTGTAGACTCCGTCTCATGCTACCACTAGAGTGAAAGCACCGCCAGCATTCAAAAGTGACCAAAACATCAGCCAGGAAGCATAGGAACTGAGAAGTGGTCTGTGGTCACCACCTGCAAAACCAGTCTTTATTGGGGGGTGTCTTGCTAATTGCCTATAATTTCCACCTGTTGTCTATTCCATTTGCACAACAGCATGTGAGATTTATTGTCAATCAGTGTTGCTTCCTAAGTGGACAGTTTGATTTCACAGAAGTGTGATTGACTTGGAGTTACATTGTGTTGTTTAAGTGTTCCCTTTATTTTTTTTAGCAGTGTATTTTAATTTTAGTGTTCAAATTAAATGAAGGAAATTCATTACAAGTAATGAGATTCAAAATTTTCAAAGTACTGCTGTTAGTTCATGTATTTGCTTCACAACTGAAATAACTATTTGCTATTTGATATGGGCAATGGTGTAAAGTACTTAAGTAAAAATACTTTCAAGTTCTACTTAAAGTAGTTTTTTGGGGGTATCTACTTTACTATTTATATTTTTGACAACTTTTACTTAACTACATTCCTAAAGACAATAATGTACTTTTTACTCCATACATTTTCCCTGACAGGCAAAAGTACTTGTTCCATTTTGAATGCTTAGCAGGACAGGAAAATGTTCCATTTACGCACTTATCAAGAGAACATCCCTATTGCCTCTGATCTGGCAGACTCACGAAACACAAATGCTTTGTAAATGGTGTTGGAGTGTGCCCATGGCTATCTGTAAAGAAAAAAAACGAAACGTGTGTTGTCTGGTTTGCTTAATATAAGCAATTTGAAATTATTTATACTTTTACTGTTGATGCTTAGGTATATTTTTGCAATTACATTTACCTTTAATACTTTTAGACTTTTACTCAAGTATTTTACTGGGTGACTTTTACTTGAGTCATTTTCTATTAAGGTATCTTTACTTTTACTCATGTATGACAATTCGGTACTTTTTCCACCACTGGACAGTGGCGGCTCCTGAAAAAATTCTCAGGGGGGGCAATTTTTCTAATGATTTAGGTGACCTACACACATTTAAAAAAAGATATGTCCAGCAACAACATGAAGACAGGGGCAGCATATAAGTCAATACTGATATACACATTACTTGCTTCAAAAAGGCCTCATGGTTGAATTGGAAATATGTGCACCTGAGCATAATTCACAACAAGCAAGCAGGAGCTTTTGATAGAGGCTACTGAAAACATTGATGCAAGTTATTGGTAATAAGACATTTTTATAGACTTCCATATTCTGCCCTCTTGTATAGATTTGTGAAAATGAACAGTGATAGACATTTTGCCTGAAAACAGAATTTGAAAATAATTTCTAGAAAAGGTAAACACAGCTATCTGTATGGCTTTGTAAAAATGAACAACCATATTCTGGCCAATTGCATAGATTTGTAAATATGAACAACCATATTCTGGCCAATTGTATAGATTTGTAAAAATGAACATGAACAGAATTTTTTTTTTTTTTTACTTAAAAAAAGAAAGAAAAATAACTATTTTAAACAACATCAACTGTGAACTGATTTGGGCGTGTGTGTGTTAAAGAGACAGACAGGGAGGGACAAAGAGAGAGAGAGGCTACATTACTTGTACTGAAACTGTTCTCTTCTCTCTTTCAATGCAGCAAAGCGGTCAATGACTTTCTCATTGAAATCAGGCATGCTGAGGACTAGTTTACTAGTTACTTTTTTGATGCGAGAAGTAGCTTGCTGCATGATCAAATTCAGCTGATGCGCATAGCAATGCATGTAATGGACATTCTTGAAATGCTCACGCACCTTTT